ATCCATTAGTTTGTACGACACCGCACGAAAAGCATTCTGCACAATTAAGGAACTTATCGCGAAAGCAACAATGCTTGCACATCAGGACTCCCGAGCACCAATTAGTATTGCAGTAGACGCATCCGACTTGTAGTGGCCCGTGTATCTGACTCCCTTTTAGATTGTACGAATGTTTGTTATTGCTTATTCTCGTCATATCATCGTCGACTTAAATCGCGTTATCCAATAACGGAATTAAATAAGTCGAATAACGAGAATTGACTTGAGAATACATATATTTCGTACATGAAGCGAATGAAACAGCAAAGCAAAAATGACGCGTATGGAAGATGGCTGGGAAGCCAACTCCATCTTTCTCAAGCGTTACTCAATATTTATAGTCAGACAAAATAAAGCTACAGACATGTGATTAATGCGATAAGAAGGGCACACACATATACGCTCATATAAAAACAGTCAAGACTGACAAGCGAATAATTGACAAGGTCAAAATATGGCTCAAGTAAAATGAGTAAAATAGGATGTCCAGAAGTTAGAATAAGGTATATGGGCTTGCCATAATAACCGACACTACAGACTCAGCAATCGGAGGAGTCTTACAACGATGGGTTAACCACTCCTGGCAACCTTTGGCATTTTCCTCTAGACGGTTGCTAGACACTGAATAGAGGTACAGCACTTTCGTCAGAGGACTCCTAGCTATGTATTGTGCTGTACGACATTTTCAACACTACATCGGAGGTCGTGAATTCACTCTTTCACTGACCATAAACCACTCACATACTCTCTAAGCTCTCCTTCAGACAAGTAATCTCCCCGTGAGTCTCGACAACTGGACTACATTTCACAGTTTACTTCAGACATTCAACACATCTCTGAAGCAAACAATGTAGTTGCAGACGCCTTACCTCGCATAACCTCCTTGAACAGTTTCCAAGGAATCGACCTTCTTAAACTCACCGAGCTTCAAAAAGAAGACAGTGATCTTCAGCACGAGTTATCGTCTACAACCCTTAAACTACGCATCAAACAGATGGGAAAAGGTAAGGAAACCTTACTGTGTGACACATCTACAGGTAGGGATCGCCCAATCGTGCCGAAACATTATCGACGCAATGTCTTCAACACATTGCACAAACTTTCTCATCCAGGTGTTCGTGCAACCATCAAGCTTATAACAGAATGGTTTTGCTGGCCTGGCATGAATAAAGACGTGAGGGAGTGGGCACGCTCCCGTGTAAGCTGTCAAAAGTCTAAGGTTGTCAGAAACAATAAATGTCCCTTAGACTCATTTAAAACTCCCGATGCTCGTTTCGACCATGTTCATCTGGATTTGGCAGAACCTTCACCAGATTCAAATGGATACTTTTATCTCTTAACCTGCGTAGACCGTTTCACGCGATGGTCAGAAGCAGTACCTATCAAGGACATCACTGCTGAAACAGTGGCCCGCACCTTCGTCGAACGATGGGTAGCAAACTTCGGCTGCCCTTCAACCATCACTACAGACCGCGGATGTCAGTTTGACTCTGAACTTTTCCGTCATCTGACCACACTTTTAGGAATCACTCGCTTCCGAACAACCCCCTACCACCCACAAGCAAACGGGTTGGTAGAACGTTTTCACCGACAACTTAGAGCTTCACTATCAGCTGCAAAAGTTTCACAGTGGACCGGCGCTCTTCCACTCGTTTTACTAGGTATCCGCGATTCAGTGAAAGCTAACATTGAATACACTGCAGCTCAACTCGTTTATGGAACGACACTTCGACTTCCAGGAGAATTCCTGGATCCTGCATCATCTTCAATGAGCCTGGATGTAACTTCCTACACAAACAGGCTTACAAACGCAATGCGTTCAGTTAAGCCTGTTTCCACTCGACCACAATCAACCGATGTTTTCGTTCAACCTGACTTACGACATAGTACACACGTTTTCGTTCGTCGAGACTCGCATCGACGACCTTTCGAATCAGCATAAGAAGGATCTTTCAAAATTCTTCAACGTGAATATAAGTACTATATAGTCGAGAAGAACGGAACAAACGATAGCATCAGCATCGATCGCCTCAAAGCAGCGTATTTAGGAGATCCTATTCATGTCGACTTTCCTTCGGTACAATCTCACAACACGACTCCTACACTCATAATTCCTCAACCGACAACCAACACTAGCGATGACACTGCGAATGTGTCTGAAAATAAACTTTAAACGACGCGTTCTGGAAGAAGAGTAAGATTTCCAGAACATTTAAACGACTGCTGTTGTACCTCGGTCCCATATAGTAAGGAAAGACGACCAGACATTGCTAAACCTAGCAAGCCGTCAGAAGAGTGTTTACCAACGACAAACTCGTTGGGTTTAAACTTCTGGCTGGCCACGTCTTAGGGTCATCACTATCCCACTAGGTAGTGAGTGATCTGTAGCGGTAAATAAATCCCCAAAATAAATAGCTCTGTAAGTTTTCGACATTGGATGTTGACTACATTAGCTTTAATGGACTCACCTAGCTGAACGCGCTCGGTCATGCATCGGCACCAGATCACGAGAGGGAACGCTGTGCTCAACACCTACCGCAATCGCTAGACAGATTAGATCAGAGAATTCCGATATATTGGTTATCGCCAAATACACTCTTCCGATCTCCTCGACTCTGTCTTTTGATTTCTCTTGGTGGGTACAAATTATATTAGGTGTTGCTGGTAAAAGCGTTGTCAAACACTGAATACCTGTGCCATCTTCACAGTAATTAACGACTTGGTGCGAGAAACGAAACTTCAGAAAGAGACAACTTGATCTGTCCTCTCAAATGACCAGCCCCTGATGGAAGGAAAATATTGAACTTATTGATACCAAGGTCATTGTTCAGTATACGATAGGCCAATATTATATCACCCCGTATTCCAAGGTAAGATAACGCGAATATGTTGAGGTGTCTCAGTTTGTTTTCATAAGATAGGCTAGAGAGACCTTTCACCATTTTGGTCCCTCAACGTTGGACCTATTCCAGCATATCTGTCTCATATTTGAAACAAGAACTCGCTGCTTGAATCCCATATTCCAAATGCGGTCTTAAGAAAGTCGGGTAAACTCAGCTAAATATTTCTTCATCTAAATACTGGAAAGAAGTACAGATAACTCATAATACCCTATAGCTTTTTGTAGCAACAGCCTTACAGTGATTGGTAGTTTCGAGATCGCTGCTAATTATGACTCCGAAGTCTTTGTTGTTTATTACTTTGGGTAATACGAATCCACGTATTGTGTAGTGACACAAATCATTATTGTCATTCAATTGCATCGCCACACTATTGTTAGGATTCGCTTCTAGTGACTATCCATCCATCCATGCAATCGATGACCGTCATGTAATACTATTCTATCTGACATATGGGTTTCTAAATCTTTATGTCATCGGCGAAGAACAGAATGGATGATTTAGCCACAGTTGGTAATTTATTTACGTGAAATAAAAGGAGAAAATGGCTAAGGATTGTGCCCTGCAGAATTCTACTTTTCGCAAGTTCCCACGATGAGAGAGTTCAGTTTAACCTTACCCTCTGTCCCTCGTCACGGAAAGCCGCTTGTCCACTTTATGACCCTATAATGGATTGCAAAACTTTGCAGTTTTAGTCTAACACCCGGATGGAAGACCTTATCAAAGGCTTTACTCAGAACTATGAAAATCATATATACAGGAATATTTCGATCTTTTGTCAAAGCCCAATTTTCTCTTGTAACGAGCAGATTTGTCAAACATGGTAAGAATATCCGTAAACCTTGTTGTTCCCTGGATGAAAGTGTAGCGGTAAATAAATCCCCAAAATAAATAGCTCTGTAAGTTTTCGATATTGGATGTTGATCACATTAGTTTTAATGGACTCACCTAGCTGAAGGCTCTCGGTCATGCATCCGCACCAGATCACGAGAGGGAACGCCGTGCTCAACATCCCCTGCAATCACTAACCAGATTAGATCAGCCTATCCACGATATACTGGTAACCTATCAAATATATCGTCTAACCTCCTCGCTTCTTTCTCTTGATTTCACTTGGTGGGTACGCTTCATATTAGGTGTTACTGGTTAAAGCGTTGTCAAACTCCGAATACCTGTGGCAACTTCAAAAGATTGTGCCCCTCAACACAGTTCATAATAACCATCCGAATGATCTATTCAATTAGTTTTACAACTACACTGGTTAAACTAACGGGTAAATAGTTTTCAGGTCCTTACTCGCCGCCTTATGCACCGTAATAATTATTGCGAATTCCAGTCCCTTGGCAGCATGGACTGCCGCAGACATATCAGGCTGAAGATGCCACAGGTATTTGCAGTTTGACAACACTTTAACCAGTAACATCTATAACTGAATCGTGCCACTCAGTAGAATCAAAAGTCAGACGTGAGGAGATTCGAAGATAAATTTGATAGGTTACCAGTATATCGTGGATAGGCTGATCTAATCTGGTTAGTGATTGCAGGGGATGTTGAGCACGGCGTTCCCTCTCGTAACCTGGTGCGGATGCATGACCGAGAGCCTTCAGCTAGGTGAGTACATTAAATCTAACGTGGTAAGCATGAAACGTCGGACTAACAAAGCTATTGAATTTGGGGATTTATTTACCGTTGAACATCTTTCTATATCTAGTGGGGTAGTGACGACGTGGGCAGCTAGATGCTTAAACTTAAAGAGCTTGTAGTTAGTATTCACTCTTTTGATAACTTGCTTTGTTTAGACGCGTCTGTTTGTCTTTTCCTACTACCAGGGGCCATGTGGTACAATAAATTAACAAAAAAGGGTACAATAAAGATTTCGATCCCTCGTAAACCTCGTCGTTTTTTGTCCTTTCCAGACATTCTGGAAAAGAAAAAATGATATGAAAGTGTATGTTGAATTACACTTGTATGTGTGTGAAGACGAAAAACGGGCGAAGAAAGGACAGTTGACAGGAATAACAAATAAAACTTGTTTATTTTCGAACTAAAATAAATAATTGTTTACAATAATAATATCATGCGATTATCCGTGTAATGATTCAAATATAGAAGTGATGCATAATCCGATTTGAAAATTAAAAATGGAACCATATCATTGAAATCCATTACTCGACACAATGACTTATCAAGATCATTTTGAATATAGTCCATCCTATCATCTTCATGTAAAGAAACGTACAATGCATCAAGATATGGTTGTATCCATTTCGTAATATTATCAGATATAATTTTGATTAATTCCACTTGATCGTTTTCAAATTTCAATGTTGTCTGTGAGAATGCATTTTCACTAATTATGTTATCTAACTGAGACTGTGTAAACAACACAACAAAAGTAAGCGAAAATGCTAGTGGAATATTTGCTTTACTTTACTGATTTATTTAAACACATGAACATTGGTATAAAGGGGCACAAAACTATAAATGGGCAACACAAGTTATCATTAAATATGTCTGTCCACTCGGGTACTACCAGAGTACCCAAACCGAACCAGGTGCTTTTCTCCTTGAACCTGTGACTCGGAGATTTAGTCTAACCTACAAGGCAGTGGCAGGAGAGTAATATGTCGAGATGCGGTCCTATGGTAGACGGTGAGCAAAAATGGGTTCGTACGCCATTTGTTCTTTAAGGACCCCGGAAACCATATGCATGATTGGTTTGGAATCAGGGTTTTTCAACTGTCCTAAGTGGATGATTTGTACCCACCAATCCGAATTAGATGCTGGACATTTGCTTTTCGTGGCCATATGCGAGCATCTCGAGAGGGAGAGGGGATTCTCACCATTCTCGACAGTACCAGGGCATTTGGCGGTTATATGTGGGTAGTTGTTGTTGACAACTTAATATGAATTATTGACTATGGTATTATACAGTTAAGACATGGACAACTGTAGATATCAAAGTATTATTAACCTCATACTTAAAACAATGAATTCAGAGTGGACAAATTGAACAAATTTACAATATCCATACATACATAACTCGATAAGAATCCTGTGGGTAATAATGAAGTATCACTGAAATGCATTTCCTGTCGTTTAAACTAGTAGAAATGATTTGCATGAATCAAATGGACAGGTAGTGGAGCGATAGCGGTTCCGAGATGATCATTAAATATACGAAGCTGGAATATCAAGTATTCAATGCTATCGTGCAGTCGGAAAACTCAAGGTGTTGAGTGCGACTCTGTGTGATTCTGATGAATGATAATAGTGAAGTAGACACAATATATTGACTTGTACGAAAATAAGTTAGTGTGCCCTCATCATAGTACAGTATACAAACATCTTTAAATTAATACATCACATCTACTCACGTTGAGTTCTTTAAAATGACGAACTTTTTTTCGAAGAAATAAGAGCAAATGTTCATAGAGACTGAAATTTCCATGTAATAAAACGAATTTTATTAAACCATCTAATAGAATATAAGGTGATTGTGTGACACCTGGAAATAAAATACCAAGAAAATATTTGACATTAAAACAATTTTTTTGTTTTTATTACAAAAATGTAGTGACAAGTTTAAAATACAGAAATATCATAGAGGTTTACACATGTAAAGTAATTTATTTATCTAGGCAATATAAAATAAAATGTCTCTTATCATGTGGTAATTCCGTAAATCATCACCGAATACAAAGTTTGAAAATACCATATCTCATGTTTAACAAGTTAATGAAACTGTGGAATGTTAGATCACGAGTTATTCATGCGATACACCTATATATTTCATGAACTATCAGTATTTTAACGCATTTTGTTTTTGTGTGCATCGGAATTTATGCAATTCGGTTATTCACAGTAAACAGAAAACTCAATATTCTATTAATTAACTGAATAGTCGGATATGAATATATTTTACTAATAAAAAAGAAGATTATGACAGTGTTGGTTGATGGTATCCTTTTTCTGTCTAAATAACTAATGCTCAATGAATTAATTCATGTTCACATCTAGTCTACTTAAACTGTACAATGTATCAATCATGTTTGATGGATAGACACCTTAACAACCACGTCATTCATAGTATGAGAATATTTACACAATGTCAATTGAAATGACAAATTGCAGATACAAGATACTGTTTAGTGTGAGCAAAAGAATAGTGGTATTTGTAAAATAGTGAGCATGTCTGTCGTAGTATTAGTATCAGCAGTGGCAGAGAGTAAATACCTTTGCGCTCATCATCTGTTATATACATACCTTAATAAATGACTGCTATAAAATTAATGGTGACAATAGACTGTTACAATTTCTATCAGATTTGTTGTCGCTTTCATCTGAATCGTTTTTTGTTACCTTCTTTCAATCTATTATACGATACCAGTTAATTCGAAAAGACTTGTTTAATAAAACGGACTATTTTATTAAGAATTCGATTAGCAATGTTGCGTCGACTCAAACCACGATGTCTGTACCTTTCAAAATGGATCATATCGACAGCTAATAACTTCATGGATTGATGGCATCTGTTAAATGTTCAAACCTTCTCGTTTTTCAATCTAGTTCTATGTCAACCAACATTGGATGTCAAGGTAGATGATGGAGATGCAAGGGTCACACTATTGTTAACCATCTCAGTCGACGACGAACTGTTGGATAATAGTACACTAGCCCCTTTGATTAACAGACGGACATCAAGGTTGTGGTACATAATTTTCTTAAAACGGAAAATGTATTCCAGTACTGGATGGCAGTATGCGATTGAATCGTAGTTCACAGATTTCAACTGACTGCCTTCATACAATACACGAATCAAGGATTGTGAAGTAAGATCGTTGGTGCAAAATTACAATTGATGATTATACAAAATTGTACTGAATTATATCTAGTGGACAAACACAACTAAAAACGGAATTCATATAACATTTATATAACTTACATTGAAATTTTGGATCACTGAACATCAAGATATTCTGAACGGTCTTACATGTCAATTTTTGTAGTTTAGAACTTTCCAAATTATTAATATTCTCGATTAGAATATCGAATGACTGAAGAAAAACTGAAAGTTGAAGAGATGGAGAGGTAAAGCGGACGAGTAAAAGGTATCAAGGATTTCGTGTGGTCTCAGTTGTTTATTTGCGATATGTTTTCCGAAAAATGTAAATTCATTGGACAAATAAATCATTATTATCTACTCATGCGTGTATTTGGGAAAACACATTATTCAGATTTTGACTGTTCAAACTCAGTGAAATTACCTACCATTTTAGAAAAAATCTTATACAAAAAATATCAATATACTAGTGTTTTAATCATTGACTCCGTTTGGAGCCTCTCTAGGGTTACTGTCGGTCACAAGCCGAGTAATGGAGGAGGCTTGAGAGTATTGTTAACAACTCGACCCTATAACAGCAAATACCGCTAAAAGAACATTCACCAGCAAAAGCAATCCAAACTCTACCTTGAGAGCTGAAGGGTTTACATACGGGAGAATCATAACGCCTCATGGTGAAAGTCGAGATATTTCGAAAGCCGCATGATATATAGTCTTCAGACAACCAGAGCAACATGGAATGTCTGAACGATATGAGAAACCTGGACGATGCAACCAAGTCACAGTTGGAATAAGTGGGACCGATTGGGCGAAAATGACTAATCTCCACAGGAAAATGCCTCCCATACACAGGGAATTGCATTGATAGTGTGCAAAAATAGCACGTGAATTGCTTATGAGATAGGAAATTCATGGATCCAGGATCGTCAAACCATTCTTTAAAGGAAAATAGGAAGCGATCACAATGCACACCGATGATAGCGGTGGAAACGATAAAGACCACTTCCAGTCGGTCATAGAGAAATGATTAGGAAAACAATCGACTATTCCGATGGCAGACCTGAACGCCAGGGTTGGGGTACACAACACCGTGTATGCAGACATCATGGGTTGACATGGACGGAAGGAACAACAAGAAAAGTGAGAGACTGACAAACATATACACTTTTAACAATATGTGTATACATGGCACGATTTTGTACTGCAAACGCATACACAAAGCTACAGGGCTTTCAGCGGACAACATTACAGAAGGCTAGATCAGTCACCTCTTTATTAACGAAACATGAAGAAGACCCAAGGAAGAAATAAGAAGGAAAAGGAGGGGCTGATATCGCTTCATATCAACATCTGGTGGTGGCCGGGCTGAAGCAGAGGCATTGGACAATTGAGCAAACAGACATAAAGATTAATACAGCCTTTCTTCTAGATGCTAACGAGCTCACAGGTTCAACATAGTGTCTGAATAACAGGTTCCAAGCTTTACAAGCTCTGATAGAAGAAGGAAAGGAAATCACTATGGACAACAACTGGAAAGGGATTAAGCAAGCAATAACTTCAACACGGAATGAGGTGCTGAGCTCCAAGCACGAGTATGAAGAGTGGATCTCTTTGGACACCCTGGACAGCATTCAAGGAAGGAAAAGCAAAAAGACAGCAATCAACAACAACCGAAAAGCAGAGAAAGCCAAATCAGAGGCTGAATATACAGAAGCAAGACAAAAGAGCCATGAAGAGCACTGAAGGTGACAAGCAAAAATACGTAGAAGACCTAACAATCACAGCAGAAAAAGCTGTACGAGAGAACAGAAGAATACAGTAAACCAGATAGATCAGTAGAATCAAAGAAGGATCAGGAGCCGCAGAACAGATGATTAGAACACTCTGGAGAGCTCTTGAATAGACTAGCCCTGCCGAACCCAACGGACACCGAAGTAAATACAGACCTTCTTATAGATGCTTCACCACACCAAACAGGTGAATAAATCACCAAATCAGCAGACAAATTGAGAATGACAAAGCAATATGACTAGGCAGTATACCAACTGAAGCACTGTGTTCACATATAGAAGTGACTCCGAAGATATTCCATATTTGCTTCAAAAACATCTGGGATGAAGAACAAATACAAGTAGACTAAAAAGATGGATGCCTCATCACAATACTAAAGAAAAGAGATCTCAGCAAATATGAGAACTATATAGTCATCACACTACTATCGGTACCAGGAAAAGTTTTCAACTGAGTATTGTTGAACTGAATGAAAAATTCAACAGACGTCCAACTTCGAGATCCACTGCCTTGTAGGTCAGACCTTTAGGTCAAAGGCTCGTGGTGTGGCTCCCTAAGAAAACCACTTGCTTCGGTCTGGGCACCCGGGCAGTATCACAGCCAAAACACAAATATGATGAAATGTCGATATTTATGGAAAATGCTTGTCTTGTTTCGATTAACAATCACACGATTCACATTATTATTACTATTATTGTTATTATCATTATTACTATTTACTACGTCACTTGTTCACTCTCTTTTATTCCCACTCTGTGTATATCTTATTTTTCGACTTATGCAGTAGTTCGCCTATGGTGGAAACTCGGTTCTGCCTAAAGGTTCTCGAGTCACTGTCCGGTTGAAAATTGTATGCTACCATTAAACACGAATACTGAAGCAGTTTTTCTGAAACCACGTGCACCATTCAAACTGGCTGCCTTCAACGTTCGCACACTTATGCAGGTCGGACAACAGATAGGGCTGGCTATATCATTGGAAAGTCTTAATATCGACGTTTGTTGTCTATCCGAGACCCGTATTCCAGACTCTGGTGAGGTACTACAAATTTGCTCTCCATCTGTCGCTTCAAAAGGCTTGTTCTACGTGCGTTTATCCGGGGACCCTGTGGCACCTTCGTCTGGTTTTGCTGGCGTTGGTCTCGCACTAAGCGCTAGAGCTGAGGCAGTTCTAATCGATTGGATCCCCATTGACAGTCAGTTATGTGCTGTTAGAATAGAAAGTTACATCAAAGTGAGAAGAAATCGGCGTGAGAAACGATGTCTTCTCGTCATCTCCGCCTATGCTCCGACAGATTGCAGCCCGGATGCAATCAAGGATGAGTTTTACCACCAGTTATCTGTTCTTCTCCAGAAAGTGCGTTCGACAGATATTGTAGTACTAGCCGGAGAATTGAATGCTCAGGTCGGGCGTCTAGGCACAGAAGAGAGTCGTTTAGGTGGCCGATGGGGACTTGTTAGTCGCAGGTCAGATAACGAGGACCGTCTACTGCAACTGTGCACAGACCACATCTTGTTTCTGGCTAGCACTAACTTTCGGCACAGTCATCGCCGATGCGCCACCCGGCGTTCTCCCTCTGCATCCCAAGCTTGGACTCATATTGATCATATCGCGGTCAGCTACCGCTGGCGTGGTTGTGTACAAGACTGCCGCTCCTTTTGGAGTACTTATTTGGACTCTGACCATGCTTTGTTCTGCGCCAATCTTACCTTACTTTTCAGTGGCCAACGAAGTGACCGCCACCAACGGATAGATGTTAGCAAGCTGGTTGCAATTCCTTATTGTTTTGTGTGGCGCATATATATTTGGTGCCCTCGTGTACCAATATTTATGTGTTCAAATAAATAATAAATTTCCAACTGTCCTAAGTGGATGATTTGTACCCACCAATCCGAATTAGATGCTGGACATTTGCTTTTCGTGGCCATATGCGAGCATCTCGAGAGGGAGAGGGGATTCTCACCATTCTCGACAGTACCAGGGCATTTGGCGGTTATATGTGGGTAGTTGTTGTTGACAACTTAATATGAATTATTGACTATGGTATTATACAGTTAAGACGTGGACAACTGTAGATATCAAAGTATTATTAACCTCATACTTAAAACAATGAATTCAGAGTGGACATTCATGCGTTAAACTATGATTTGTAGTTATCTTTGGAGGTTTAATGCCATTACAAGGGGACTGTCTTCACTCTCGGATGTACCAGGGCATTTTTTGCTTCTTAACAGATGTATAGTTTGTGAGCAATAAGTACAAATAATGAATGTGAACAAATGCACTATTACAAACGAATAACTAGTAAACTCTATGTCTCCCGATACGACGCAATCAAGCAGTCAGTGAATTCCTGAACTGATAATGTTCTTTTGTTTAACCACCCGTAGTTGTCTGTCAACCTGAACATATGATATTCTGCATTGTATCTGTGATCTAATGGTTGATGGTTGAATACATTAAATATGAACAACAAAAAATATTTCGATTGAATGATCTTTGATTTCTTCTCATAAATACCGTCTGCTACATTAATATGAAATGTACCATCGATTTGAACATGCATAAAACAAACAATTCCTTAGTATTTAAGAATAACTCACCTTTCTTTATGTCTTCCTCCGAGGAGAATGATAACCAATTAACAAAAATTCTTGATACAAAAAACGAATGCAAAACAGCATATTTTACTTCTAAACAGACATGTGTAGTAGCAGTAGTAGTAGTATGTGAGTGTTGCAATATATTGAAACAAAGATTGCCTAAATTACAGAATTTGGACAGAATTAATGAAACGTCATCATCACTCTCCTTATTATATATAACTGTGATCAATTTAGTATGAAAACGTATAAATGCTGCTAAGTAGATTGGTGGTGAATTTAAGCATTTCATTTTTTTAAATAGAAGTTTCATCTGTTTACAACTCCAACGAAAAGCTGCCAGAATTAATTTCCTTGAGATATCTGTGGAATCATGATCACTTTGATGTTGCAATTGTATGGTTAATAAGGCAAATGCATATCGATACGCTTCGTCATCTTTATGATTATTATTATGTGGAATATTTTCATCTAACCGAAAATATAAACGAATAAAATTTTGAAATAAAGTTTGAAAGGGAAACAATGTTTTTAATTTATTGAATATTGACGAATTCAAATGTTCACTGGCATCAATAATTTCATTAATATCTTCTATATCGAAATTGTTGTCATTCAATGTGGAATGAGCAAGTGTTGAGTGTAAATATGAACAAATTCGACGAAGTGCAACTGTAAGAAGCTGTAACATTAGTTCCACACACACACACACACACACACAAGCAAACAAGCAACAAAAATAACAGCGATAATGAGTACGAAAGAAAATGTTCAATTTGAAATATTTACAGTAGAACAATAACATACAGAAAGTTAATCTACAAATTACTAAGATAGAGATCAGATAAATACACTACAAAATGAAGGATATCAGTGATATTGAAACTAACAACTAGTTGTATCAGTTCACAATATTAATGACTGTTGGTAATCCGATTCGAGTTGGTGTCCAAAACCAATCAGGTGGTTTCCTTAGGCGACCACATCCCGAACCTTCAACCTAAAGGTCTGATCCACAAGGCAGTGGAACAACGTAAGGAGATGCAGTCCCATGGTAGACGGTCACCAACGATTGGTTCATACGCCATTTTCCCCTCAGGATTCTAGAGCCCATGTGCAACACTGGTGTGGAATCAGGGTTTTCCAACTCCCCTAGGTGGATTCTCCGTATCCACCAACCCAGTCAAAGTGCCGGACATTCGCTTTTCGTCCTCTCAGTTTTGTAAACAACACCCCCGCCACGAGAAGGCGATGAGTAGGAATTCCCTGGCAGTGGTTGTATGCACGTGGCCATCTGAAAACATTTCGAAAGGGAGAGGTGACTCTCCCCAATCTCAGCCGTACCAGGGAATATGTATCTACATAAACTTTTAATATTTAATCAACACATTAACAGTTTTACATGTTAAATACATTGAAACAAATATAGGATTGTTTAGAGAACAATTTATATCATGAATAAATTTTGATTTTCCGTAAGCACAGGAATACAAACTTTAAAACTAACGAAATTAACTAAATAAAAACCAACTGTACAGTTAATCATTTGTAATTTAATCAATTAATTATTTAACAATAAGGGTTTTTTTTCTCTTCATCAAATTCAAAATTCATATGCATGGAATACTTTAATCAAAAGACTTACATTTATTGAATTCATAGATTTAGTCCATTTTATTAAATTTAAATAAAATGTAGTAGGAGAAAGAGTAGAATTTTCCGAATTGTTCAATGTACAATCAATCAGAACATAAATATGTGTTATCAAATAATCATATTCAAGACCAATTACATTAGTTTCAATCTGTATAGGTTGATTATAATGACAATTTAATATTTTCATATATAATTGTTTTATAATTGTACATGTAACATATGCTGAATCATTTAACCAAGAGAATGATGACTTTAAACGATTTATAATTGTTAAATAATTCGATTTTGAAAGATACGATATAGTTGAAACAGTGTAAACTGATGGTGTACTATCATGAATATCCATATTGGAATACATCAATGCATAAATCTAAAAGGTATAATTCAGTAATTAACCTCTCATAATTAAATAAATATGTTTATTTAATGGTTATCAATCTGATAATAAGCATCGTATGCTTACTAGTGACTGGCTTTAAGAGGCATTCCCTGGAGTTCTAGTGAGAAGCACTGACTAGTGGAGTTCAACCGGGTCTGTTGTGCGATAGTAACTCACTAAAGACAATGGGGGATGGTAGCTCAACTTCGTGGATTGATTGAAGTTAGACATTAACAACGTTGGATCACAGTGATCTAGAGGTTAAGCGTTCGCTCGCGAGACTGATAGGTCCTAAGTTGAAATCTCATGAGGCGGGATCGTCGATGCGCACTTTTGAGGAGTCTCATACTAGGGCGAAACAGCCGTCCAGTACTCTCAACTGAATAATCACATTCTGAATGACTCAATCAATAACTGATATTCAGTGGTATATAAGAGTTAAAATAGATTACAATTTTAATGTATGATTACTTCATATCGTCATGGTAAAATCATACTTTAGGGACTGGCATAAAACAACCGTGATAAGTTTCTGTCTAGTTTCTAATCAGTCAGGAAGCAACTTTGATAAATGGATAGTTTATGGAAAAGAAAACAATGATATTGTACACATTTTACATAAGTAATAAATATACTAATATTATTTTTACAGGTTATTCTCCCTGAAGGCCGAAAAAACCAACAGCTTATGAAATCGTTCAAATGAATACAGCTCGATCATCTATCCGAATACTAAAGAAGAACAAGAGACATTTTTTAATAGTCAACACCAACTTCCTGTCGAAAGCCATGAAAACTACTTACTTATATCAATATATGAAGACAATTGTGAACACACGTTTCATTATGAGAACGTTTTTATCTTAGACAGAGGCGGTAAAAAGATCATAAGTTTTTCAGATGTTTGAGGCTCAGATCAACCTGAAATCAGCAGATATTTCGAAATTTTCATAACTCAATTCAATCTTCTGCTAGGTTAGAATCAATTACGAGTTCTAGGGATCTAAAGTCCCCAGCACACCTCCACTTTTTAATTGCATACTTTCCTGGGGTAGACTTGCGTTTTGACTGTAGTTCGCCGCTGTTGGAGAGGCTACCTTCTGGAACGGATACCAGCTTGTCGTTGATCTTTTTCTCGTGGTGGGGCTGCCGGTAAGCTCGAGGTATCGAGCAGGAGAGAATTGTCACGTCAGATGCAGTGTCTATTTGCAATCTAAACGGATGCCCATTAATACTAAGGGTAACGAATTTCCTCTGACCTGGGGATGAGCTTTGACAAAAAGACATCAGGCTCAACGAAGTGGTACAGGGTTTATGAACAGTCTTCTTGGCACTTCTGGATCGGTTTGGCTTCCTCTTAAGACAAAACCCGTCTTTATGACCGACGACCTCACACTTCCCGCATCGATATTGCCTAAATGGACAGTTTCGTACATAGTGCCATGCACTGCAGTGCCAAGATGGGGCAGGAGGATTTGTTTTTGTCTGTTGACTTGAACTAGTAGCTGGGGCAAATTTATGCGGGTTGGGTGGTTTTTGGACTACATGAGTTTCGGTACGACCTAAACGACCACGCTGGACCATCGTGGTGTCACGCCGTAGATTCATTAGACGTTGATATTCATTTACAATATCATTGAGTGTAAATTTGGGGTCTTGGTCTAATCGACTAAGCAGCCGTATTATAATGTCACTAAACTTCTGCGATTGGAGACCGCAGATTAAAATAAGGGCTTTGAATCGATCTTCAGTCAGCGACTTCAACCGACGGTACTCCTATACGTGAGAAAATCAGCGTCTTTGTTTGTAGTCAGCTTGAACCATCGATAACGTAGGTTGATTAGTGAAGATTTATCTCCAAACTGTTGGCTCAATGACTGGACGGTGTCAGAGAATGAATGTTCACGTGGGTTTAGAGGCAAAATTAAGTTGCAAGATCTATTTAATTCACTAAGAACCAGTTTTCGAAGCAGCAAGCAGACTTTCCAAGCATCATCCCGATTAGCGAGGTCAAATCTGAATAAATCTTTATAACGTCGAAACCACATACCAAATGTGACATTGGAATCAGGATCATAAGGAAACTCTGAAGTACTATTCGCAATACAATCAACTAACGGTGCAGTAGTAGTGGTAGAAGTGCTTGGTTGTGCGTTAGGCGTAAGCTTTGCATCTTCTAAAATCGACCCTTTTACTGTTTATCCGGTTAATTATATTTTGTAGTTGTAATTTGGCCTGACGTCTTGGGCTAATGCATATTTGCCCCAAATTGTCTGTTAATCATAATTATCTGATTTTCTTTATCCTAATTGTTTCTAAACTTTTTTCCCAGAGTACATGTGTACTACACCTAAATATCATTCGTGATATATTTCAATCAAAAAATTTAAATTATCATACAGATAAATATTTACAAAAAGCATTAATTATTGCTTTGGATGGTGTTGGATGTGGAGATTTATCAGTGAGTTTGTTATATATCTATCTATCTATCTATCTATATATATATATATATATATATATATATATATATATATATATATATATAAATTCTGAGAGCTCTTCAAAGCGGCTTGCTTTTAATCCTGCTGGGACATGAACATAGCGATCAAATAAAACTTCCCATAGATTTTAATTCAAACAGTCGTAAGATTAGACATTAGTCACTTCATCACAACAGACCGTAAATAAGAAATTATATTGTGTATATTTACAAGCCGTAAATAATAGGGAACAAAGCAAGAAGTGAATAAGTAAACAATTCTAATTTAGAAATAGTACAACGTATATCGACGTTTATACTATAAATTCGAGTTTTAATATAGGATAATGTAGAAATATAACGATCTCTCGTTGGATAGTTCAAAAAGTGTAAACTTTCTTAAAATCCTCTTCGATATAATACACATCTAGTCGCATATGTGTCATAGTTTGGTGTGTGTATATGATGTATTTTCATTAATCATTTAACCAAATCATAGTAAATATTCAGTCGATTTTCATGAAGGAAACTTTTAGCAAAGATAACCGTTCATCTAAAAATGTAATTCATGCAATGAAAACCCCTAAATGCCCTGGTACAACCGAGAGTGGTGAAGGTCATCTCTCTCTCTCTCTCTCTCGAAATGCTATCACATGGCCACGTGCATACAACCACTGCCAGGGAAGTCCTACTCATTGCCTTCTCGTGGCGGGGGTGTTGTTTACAAAACTGAGAGGACGAAAAGCGAATGTCCGGCACTTTGACTGGGTTGGTGGATACGGAGAATCCACCTAGGGGAGTTGGAAAACCCTGATTCCACACCAGTGTTGCACATGGGCTCTAGAATCCTGAGGGGAAAATGGCGTATGAACCAATCGTTGGTGACCGTCTACCATGGGACTGCATCTCCTTACGTTGTTCCACTGCCTTGTGGATCAGACCTTTAGGTTGAAGGTTCGGGATGTGGCCGCCTAAGGAAATTACATAATTGGTTTTGAGCACCCGGGCAGTATCATAGCCCACACACAAATTGAATGATATATGTAGTCTATATTTATTTGATATCTAGTTGTACCAATGTTTATGTGTTTAATTAATAAAGAATAATAAAATGCAATAAGATAAATTTCCACAGTAGTCAAATAATATTCGAGAAAATCACCGTGAATATATCTAATGTAGCAACTTAGTAATTACACTATCGAACACCTTGTTCCTATAAAATATGGTCGTTTTAAATCAATTGTTTAAGATATGTGAGGTGGATTTTTGTTCTATTAATTTAACTGTTTTAACAAATACGTAATTAATTGTAGTGAGCTCAGAAACTGTCACGTTGTTGAATTCACTTGGTGTTGTTTACTTGAAGCGAACGGCACTGGGTTCATGTCCCAGAGTGAACATCAAATCCGAGATTTAGGTACATCCAGCTGACAAGTCCCAAACAGAACGCCACTATCCATCTCTGCTTATACTGTCACGTTTTTAGTTTGGATTGATTAAATTTACATTGCATACTACAAAGTTGGACGGTTTTCACAACATACTATACTAAAATGTCATCATGCTTTTACAACTAAAAAAATTTGAGAAGGTTTGACGCAATAGAGCTGTTATAGCCCAAAACCGCCAATTAGGGAGCAGCGAATTATCGATCGGACCAAGGACTCATTAAACACGTGAGAGCAGTCTAGAGTCCTTATTGGTCATGCTTTCTGTCTAGCCCAGCCAGTTAAGTCCCGAACACCAGTCTCAGCCTCTGGAATATGAATCATGTATTTCGAACATACTCTGTTTATACACCAATCAAGCAGACCACATCGTACCATAAAATAGAAAATAACATTTGTAAAAGATTTGGCCAAATGTGGCTGTGAATGTGGGAGGTAGTGATTAATAGATAGGGAATAGTTCAAGAATGGAAAATCGTATAATAACAGTTCATAGGTTAAAATGAAGCTTATGATAAGAGACACATGAATATGAATAGTTTAGTTAATTAACAATTATACGATAAAAATGTACGAATAGTATTGGTCCATAAATGGATCCCGAAAATTACCATCGATTATGCTTATCGGGACATAACGTCTATTTATGTCGTCTGAAATAATGAGGGCTTCACAGTCAGATTACCACAGAACTTTGAAGTTAGACATATAGGTGAGTTTATCATTATCAAACATGCTTGAACTTTTAATCAGAGGAACCTATAGGAAGATTTACTGATTAAGTCAAAAGTGTTAATTCTTTCTACGTCTCCCCCTTGTCTGTCATATGTTCTTCATCCATATGATCTATTTTCTGATTGTGTAAAACTGGACTAAAAGTGAAATAGGTTATTCTAACAGTTTATCAAAACTATCATTACAATGAAGGTTTATATTTGTCTGCATTAAAAGGCTTAGATATTTGATTACGTAGGAACTGCACGACAGCTACTTCAGTTTGAACAGTTAAATTGTGTCATTACACTACTAGATGTCTCACATAAAAACATAGTTGCCCAATACCAATTGTACGAGAATCTTTACTAACAGTATAAGACAACAACCAATTACGTAATCAGACTAACTAAATTGTGATTGGATAGAAAAATATGGTCCTGTTATATCAAGTCATTATCATCCTATATAACTGATGGATGCACATGTGCATATTTATGAATTGTACACAAAAATGACTAATTAACTCTTTTATGCAACCCTTACTCTCAGTATGTAGATTATGTCTAAACATTTGTGCTACATACAAACCTCGAACTCAATTAGACATACATACGTTTGCTAACGGGAAATGTTGGTCCGTAGCCATAAAGATGGATTAACCAATAATATCTAAGTTAAAAACCCACAATTCAGAGTCATTCTGATCTCAGTGGGACAAACATTGGAAGCCAGAAAGTACAGGATAGTTGTTGTCATCCTATATGTGATTCCTCAGCAGCGAGTCTTTGAGATACCATTAGGTGATCAAACTCAGAAATTTTGATTTCGCAACGAGCGCCTAACCATAAACCACTTGAGCCGGCATCCGATTATATACATCTCTAACTTCAATTTGAAACACTGGACTTTCATCTTCCATCGCTTGTGGTGGATAATTGTGTCAAATCCGGCAGTACAATAGTTTACTTCTAACTTTAGCCACATCACGACAATGTGCTTGAGAATTAAAGAACTCATTTAGAAAATTTATTTGCATGAGTATTAAATCTTACATAAAATGATAGAAACAGATGTGAACTACCTGTAAAAGTAGACCATGTAATATATTCAATCGAATATTGCACCATCTCTTAACTGGCATTGATTCATGAAATAGTTCCATTAAATCGAATAAATGGTTTAATGTAGTCATGATAACACTTGGATGTATAATTGAGGTTAAAGCTAACGAAGCAATTTTACGTATACGTATGTCATCACTAAAACCACACCTGAAAAAGTAGTATAAACATATATTTCGTTAAAATAGGTCAGAATACAATGGACAATTATTTCGTTATAGTGAGATGTATTAGTAGTATGTATACTCGCTACCTCATTTAGGAAGTATCAGTTTTGTGATGACAATGGCTACTTTAGGCTAGTCAGTTTGAATCTAACGTTAATTAATAATTTGAAATATGTAGTTCAACGGTTGGATAATATATGTCTTCAGAAACTATGTGCCTTCGAAGTGAACAAGATAATCACACTGAACCGACTTAAAAACCCATTAATGCAATGGTTTTGCAATATCTATCAATTGTACTGTTTAGTTGACATAATTAACCACAGAATGTAATCTGTATAATTTAAGTCATACTGAAAACATAAATTCGGTAAATTTTCAGATGACTAGATGCTTTAATCATTAATAAATTGACGAAAATAACTTCATGTTACTAGTTGGGGCTGATTTAACAGAGTACTTTATTTCCATTTATTGCCAGACGTTGCTAAGAGTTCTTAAGAGTTTGGTTAGCATCGCATTCCAGTACCTAACACCTTCAATGTCAGAACGTGATCAGATAAGCTACATACACGGTTGGAATTTCAATTTAGACATCAACACTAGGCCATCGTTACTTCTAACTGACGAGTCCTAAATAAAACTACAAGCAATATCAACACAATAATCAAGTCAAATGTTCAGCAGACAACGAAAAAATTGACTCTCGTAAAATGGTAATAGTCTAGTCAGTTTAGACGATTAAAGATCAACGCAATATATACGGAGCGATTAAAGTACCACAGAAAATTAGAGGTTTCATGGTCTCCATAAGAAATGAGGCTCGATAATATATGGATTCATGAGTTTGTATTCATCAAGATTTTGAGAACAAGAAAGGACAAACTGTACGAATTTCACTAATGTACGATTACTTCGCAGATGTATGCATAAATTGTTATTGTATTTTAATCACTGCAAGTTATGCTTGATATGTTATATATATTACTTACCTAATAAGTAGTTTATATAACATTTTATCAATCTCAGTAACTTGTAAGGATGGTAGTAGGTGTGTCATCAAATGAAGTATACTGTACAATTTGAAAGAACTTGGATGTGGAATGCTGTGGAATTTAGAAAAAAAAGATAAACATAGACTTCAACAGACATTGAAGGAGAAATCTTATGGTTGGAGGAGCATCAATCATATGCAATGATCAAATAGTTACAAGAAGAAGGAAAAGAAGTACTCTTAAATGATGAATAATATTTGGCAAAACATTAAGTGTAGAATTAACGAGTGGTGTGCACTAAGCATACCTAGTATACCTTGTGTTTTATGTTATAATTAATTTGTATATATTGAACATTCATACTTTAATTAATGATTAATTTACATGAAAAATATATTCAGGTTCAGAAGTTATATATAGATTAGTGTAGTTGTATTGGTAGTTTTCGTTACGGACTGATAAAGTTACTAACTCACAGAGAGATATTCACGCAAAGACTAACCTCCATTAGTAGGAAGGATACTGAGGTACTTACACTCAATGATCTCTGAGCAACAACCAATATCACCTAACACAAACAACATCAGTTAACACACGATTACTACTAATAACTATAAATCATTGAATTCTGAAGAGAAGATTGGTTGGTTAGTTATCATTTCTATGACTAAAATACAGTCACTGTTAAATTGTGCTGCACGCTCATAGATAGCGAACAAATTATTCGACTACGTATAAAATACATTTCGTCAGTAATAAATATTCAGCATCGAAAGATACTTCTGCTGGCGCAATACAAACGTGCGTCTAAATTCCTGAGTGCAGTTGAGGGTGGGGAGAGTCTCCTCTCCCTCTAGAAATGCTCGCGTATGACCACGCACATATGGACCACTCTCAAAAAAGTCCTATTCACCATCTCGCAGGAGTTTCGTTTAAAAAATCAAGAGGACGAAAAGCCAATGTTCAGAGCTTAAACCACGTTCGTGGATACGGAGTAACAACCTAGGACAGTTGAGCAACCCTGATTCCGAACCGATCATGCATTTTACCTTCACGGTCCCGAGAGAATAAGTGATGTATGAATCTATTCTTGGTCACTATCTACTATCAGACTGCATCTCCAAACGTCATTCCCCTGCCACTGCCTTGTGGATTAGACTAAACCTCTGAGTCTCACGCTCAGGGAGAAAAACTCCTGATACAGTTTGGGCACATGGGCAGTATTCCAGCACACATGGAAAATCAATGATAAGTTGTGTGCTCACTATACATAAACTTTCTTGACTATGAAAAAGCATTTGACAGTGTCAATAGGAGTACGTTATGGGACCATCTTCGAAACTAAGGTGTACCTGAGAAAATCGTCAACATCATACGGAATTCATACGAAGAAATACACTGAAAAGGTGCGCATGGAGGACAGCTGACAGATGCATTCCAAGTGAGGAGCGGTGAAAAACAAGGCTGCTTACTCTCACCCTTTATCTTTCTTCTGGTGGTTGACTGGATTATGAAGACCTACACATCTGAGGGAAAACACGGAATACAATAGAAAGTGTGGATGCAACTAGACGATTTACACTTCTCAGATGACCTAGCCCTTCTATTCCATACAAAGCAACAAACTCAGATTAAGACAGTCAGTGTAGCATCGCCTCTGCAGCAGTAGGTCTCAACATACACAAGGGAAGATGCAAGACCCTCAAATATAACACAGAGAGCACCAACTCAATCACACTTGATGCAGAAGCTCTGGAACAGGTGGAAACTTTTACGTACCTGGTCAGCATCATCGATGAACAAGGAAGATTCGATGCAGACGCAAAGGTGAGGATTGGCAAAGCAAGGACAGCATTCCTACAATTGAAGAATATATGGAACTCAAAACAACTCTCAGCTGACATCAAACTCAGAATCTTCAATACGAACGTCAAGACAGTCCTACTGTACGGGGCTGAAACTTGGACAACTACTGCAACCATCATCAAAAAGGTACATGTATTTATAAACGGTTGTCTACACAAGACTCTTAATTTTCGTTGACCAGATACCATCAGCAACAGCCTACTATGGGATGAAACATTCCAGCTTCCAGCTGAAGAGGAAATTAGGAAGAGACGTTGGAAGTGAATAGGACATACATTACAGAAATCACCAAACTGCATCACGAGGCAAGCCCTAGTAATTTGGAATCCTGAAGGGAAACGGAAAAGAGGAAGGCCGAAGAACACACCGAGTCGGGAGTTGGAAGTAGACATGGAAAGGATGAATAGTAACTGGAAGCGAGTGGAAAGGATTGTCCAGGACAGAGTTGGATGGAGAATGCTGATGGGCGGCCTATGATCCACGAGATATAACGGGCGTAAGCAAGTTGTGCTAATATGTGCTTTATCATAGAATGGAAATACTCAACAGTGCACATACACTACAAAGGATCGAATACAATGTTAGGACTATCCATCTTTCCAACTTCAATGATTATAAATCATTTTGGTTTCGAGATTTTTAGGCTATCCATCATTTAAAATAAATCATAGCAGAACCAGTTATATTCACTTTTTAGCTTGATGTAAACAATAAATAGATTAACGGAATTCGATGACCTCGAATTATTTAATATATTTGACTTGGAATAACACAATTTTATAAAATGTCACCCATTGATACATGATTAACTACATGCTCAAACTGAAATATGATGAATGAAGATTTGAGTTAGGAGTTTGATAGTCAAAATTTAGTTGTCTTGTTTATAAACATATTGATACCACAATAGATATTATTACATAGAGAAATTGACACACTACTAAACCAATCAGGATTGAACAATGGAGATTTTAGTGTAGAAATTTACAAAATTAAACAACCAATATAGAGTGGAAGCATTTATTTATTTATTTGAACACAGATGCATTGGCACAAGGAGAGATCAAACAGATATAGACTACATATATCATTCAATTTGTGTGTGGGCTATGATACTGCCCGGGTGCTCAAAACCAATTATGTAATTTCCTTAGGCGGCCACATCCCGAACCTTCAACCTAAAGGTCTGATCCACAAGGCAGTGGAACAACGTAAGGAGATGCAGTCCCATGGTAGACGGTCACCAACGATTGGTTCATACGCCATTTTCCCCTCAGGATTCTAGAGCCCATGTGCAACACTGGTGTGGAATCAGGGTTTTCCAACTCCCCTAGGTGGATTCTCCGTATCCACCAACCCAGTCAAAGTGCCGGACATTCGCTTTTCGTCCTCTCAGTTTTGTAAACAACACCCCCGCCACGAGAAGGCAATGAGTAGGACTTCCCTGGCAGTGGTTGTATGCACGTGGCCATGTGATAGCATTTCGAGAGAGAGAGAGAGATGACCTTCACCACTCTCGGTTGTACCAGGACATTTGGGGCCTATAAACACATGTATAATGATTCAAAAAGTAGACATTTTAATGATCAAAAGAATAATCGTTATTCTTATAAATATTCATACTTTGTATTCTTTGAGTACGATGTAAGTGTTTCAACAAAGTAGTGTTCAAATTTCGGATAACGTTTGAAAAATGTTGATGTTGCTAAGCTTCAAAATTTTAAAAAATTTCAATGATATTAAGATAAAGATCATTTGTCAAAATTAAAAGTCAGTATTTATACATAGAAACAGGTTACCTATTTTCAAATGGATGTATATACTATTAATTAAAACCAACAGGATTGAACTGGCTTTTCTTTAGTTAAATTACACTATAATATCGAATCAATCACATTCAAGGTAGTAACTTTTAAGTCATGATTGAAATATTGAAAATGAATTTCAATGATAGATTGTCGAATGAGTGATTTAGAAAACATTTTGATGCAACGCTTAAAATGTTTAGAATTCTTGAAAAAAAAGAGGGTTTATTATCCCATCAAACGGTATGATGACGAAGATATGGGATACAGTTAGTATTTCATACACAATTTTTTTAGAGAATGTAAATCAATAAGCGTTGATTTTAACATGAGAAAACTAGGGTTTTATTGAACATGACCTTTTCGGAATATCATATGAATTCATTGTACAACATCAAAATATTGATTACATTACTTAAAAGCATATTTATACCCTCCTAACTCAATATATGCTGGACCGACACTGGATAATTCAAAAGAATTTTTATTAATTAACAAAAAATAATCATTAGTTTTATCATACTTTGCAGGAGGAGTTAAGACCAAACACTCACGATTTAACCAGTGTGGACAGAAAAACACTCATGATTTTCATTCAGTCATTTATCAAGCAGAGATTCGTGTAAGGTAGTCAACACGGAACCTTGGTTAACCTAGTCTTCGTGTTATTCGGGGCTGTACCTGTAATCCTGAGGGAGTCAAAGCTCCTTGGTGGACTTGACTTTATGTTACCCAGCTTCAAAATCCGAGACGTTACCACAACTGACCTATTTGGGCTGTGACTCACCTCCTGTAGGACTGAGATATATGTACCACTGACTCATCATTGAGTTGTGGCAAATATCATGTATATCAAGTCTTTGTTAGTGCTAACCGAATTCTGTCAACCAAGTTGTCGGATAGCAGGAAAATTAAGTTCAAGGTTTTCTGTCAACTACCTACAACTACCCACCGCCTTACGTCTCTACGTAGTGCACACAATGTCAAGTTACTTAGATTAGTGGCCAAATCGTAATGTGATCGATAGAATTCCATCTGCACTAAGATTTGACGTACATGGCGTCAGCCACTAATTAGTGATCAATCAATTTTGAGAATACATTCGTGCATTGTACTTGATCTTCTGGTTAAATTTTGAGGGATAGTGATATTCCCGCCCGCTCAGTTGCATGAACTGAAGTGTATGCAGTCGGATCAGCAACCTAATGGTTAGGAGTTAAGTGTTTCAACGCTTAAGCCACCACAACATGAAGAAACCAATTCACACTCAGATAAACGATAAAAATCTGTAGAGACATTTTTTATAATACTCAAGTCGGAAAACTGATAATAGGTTTTCAAATAATAAAAAGTTTGTTAAAACGTTTGTTTTAGTACAATACTCCTGGTTGGTGTTAACTCTCTCTCTCTCTCTCTCTCTTGATTGACTGAAAAGTGACTTTACAAACAAGATCACTTTCAATATATAGGTCTAAAAGTGTAGCGGTTAAAGCATACGTTTCAAAACTTGATAATTGAATTGAAATTCTCATTCACTTGTGTGCATACACAAAAATTGGAATCGATATATATATAAAGGTAATACAAACCAATTTTTTCGACTTTTAACTGCATTTGATCGATTTACACCAAAAATACGTTGAACTAGTGTACTATAAAAAAGTATGGAAGCATTTCGTATCTGTGTAATAAATTCAAAACACAAACATGTAACAGGATTTTATTTTAAAATTTAATATTAGAGATTGATCGCAGGTAGGCAACCATAGAGGAATAGGAAAGTACAGAACAGCTGTTCAATACTAGTATGGTGAATACTTCAGTGAACGTGAGTATTCAAAACTCTAAGACCGTGACGATTCTCATGGGAACTTAGCTTCAAACTACTGCATTGATTTACATCTATAACTTCAGTAAATTCGCGATATCTCAGGATCCTAGTCTAGTGTTGTCCTTGGTGATGTATATCTCACACCTAATATGACTGAGCTCTTGATGTGTCCCGATAAGAAAAATTAGTGGTCATTTTTTGGGATCTATTTATGGACCAATACTATTCGTACATTTTTATCGTATAATTGTTAATTAACTAAACTATTCATATTCATGTGTCTCTTATCATAAGCTTCATTTTAACCTATGAACTGTTATTATACGATTTTCCATTCTTGAACTATTCCCTATCTATTAATCACTACCTCCCACATTCACAGCCACATTTGGCCAAATCTTTTACAAATGTTATTTTCTATTTTATGGTACGATGTGGTCTGCTTGATTGGTGTATAAACAGAGTATGTTCGAAATACATGATTCATATTCCAGAGGCTGAGACTGGTGTTCGGGACTTAACTGGCTGGGCTAGACAGAAAGCATGACCAATAAGGACTCTAGACTGCTCTCACGTGTTTAATGAGTCCTTGGTCCGATCGATAATTCGCTGCTCCCTAATTGGCGGTTTTGGGCTATAACAGCTCTATTGCGTCAAACCTTCTCAAATTTTTTTAGTTGTAAAAGCATGATGACATTTTAGTATAGTATGTTGTGAAAACCGTCCAACTTTGTAGTATGCAATGTAAATTTAATCAATCCAAACTAAAAACGTGACAGTATAAGCAGAGATGGATAGTGGCGTTCTGTTTGGGACTTGTCAGCTGGATGTACCTAAATCTCGGATTTGATGTTCACTCTGGGACATGAACCCAGTGCCGTTCGCTTCAAGTAAACAACACCAAGTGAATTCAACAACGTGACAGTTTCTGAGCTCACTACAATTAATTACGTATTTGTTAAAACAGTTAAATTAATAGAACAAAAATCCACCTCACATATCTTAAACAATTGATTTAAAACGACCATATTTTATAGGAACAAGGTGTTCGATAGTGTAATTACTAAGTTGCTACATTAGATATATTCACGGTGATTTTCTCGAATATTATTTGACTACTGTGGAAATTTATCTTATTGCATTTTATTATTCTTTATTAATTAAACACATAAACATTGGTACAACTAGATATCAAATAAATATAGACTACATATATCATTCAATTTGTGTGTGGGCTATGATACTGCCCGGGTGCTCAAAACCAATTATGTAATTTCCTTAGGCGGCCACATCCCGAACCTTCAACCTAAAGGTCTGATCCACAAGGCAGTGGAACAACGTAAGGAGATGCAGTCCCATGGTAGACGGTCACCAACGATTGGTTCATACGCCATTTTCCCCTCAGGATTCTAGAGCCCATGTGCAACACTGGTGTGGAATCAGGGTTTTCCAACTCCCCTAGGTGGATTCTCCGTATCCACCAACCCAGTCAAAGTGCCGGACATTCGCTTTTCGTCCTCTCAGTTTTGTAAACAACACCCCCGCCACGAGAAGGCAATGAGTAGGACTTCCCTGGCAGTGGTTGTATGCACGTGGCCATGTGATAGCATTTCGAGAGAGAGAGAGAGAGATGACCTTCACCACTCTCGGTTGTACCAGGGCATTTAGGGGTTTTCATTGCATGAATTACATTTTTAGATGAACGGTTATCTTTGCTAAAAGTTTCCTTCATGAAAATCGACTGAATATTTACTATGATTTGGTTAAATGATTAATGAAAATACATCATATACACACACCAAACTATGACACATATGCGACTAGATGTGTATTATATCGAAGAGGATTTTAAGAAAGTTTACACTTTTTGAACTATCCAACGAGAGATCGTTATATTTCTACATTATCCTATATTAAAACTCGAATTTATAGTATAAACGTCGATATACGTTGTACTATTTCTAAATTAGAATTGTTTACTTATTCACTTCTTGCTTTGTTCCCTATTATTTACGGCTTGTAAATATACACAATATAATTTCTTATTTACGGTCTGTTGTGATGAAGTGACTAATGTCTAATCTTACGACTGTTTGAATTAAAATCTATGGGAAGTTTTATTTGATCGCTATGTTCATGTCCCAGCAGGATTAAAAGCAAGCCGCTTTGAAGAGCTCTCAGAATTTATATATATATATATATATATATATATATATATATATATATATAGATAGATAGATAGATAGATAGATAGATATATAACAAACTCACTGATAAATCTCCACATCCAACACCATCCAAAGCAATAATTAATGCTTTTTGTAAATATTTATCTGTATGATAATTTAAATTTTTTGATTGAAATATATCACGAATGATATTTAGGTGTAGTACACATGTACTCTGGGAAAAAAGTTTAGAAACAATTAGGATAAAGAAAATCAGATAATTATGATTAACAGACAATTTGGGGCAAATATGCATTAGCCCAAGACGTCAGGCCAAATTACAACTACAAAATATAATTAACCGAATAAACAGTAAAGGGGTCGAAAATAATGAGGGAAAAAATCATTTATGATGTCGTTCGACAAGATGGAATGAACAAGTGTGTATGAAGGAATACTGAAACTCAGGATTTAGAACGAAATAGAGAGTGAATATATCTACAGCACACTGTGAACGATTCTCAGTCATGTTACCCAACATTTCTAACCACTGATTGTGGTTATCACATGGAATCTAACCAGACAGTCGATACTTCATGCATATAAATTTTGGCGCCCCTTAGTAGTAGTTTATATGTAATTAACTAATTAATTAATAAACCCCATTTTCAACCACAAATGACGTATTTATGTACAGATTGTGATCTCTTTTTATTTATGATGTATTCGGTCTTGTAAATGGATGAATATTTTAGATGTGAATTTTTGAGTCAATAGCAGAAGGTAAATAGAGAACGACTCGTTATTCACGTATCCTCACTTTCTATTAGAGATTAGAGAACTCATGTGGACCAATAAGCATGTTAGTTAAATCCAACTTTTGTTGTCTGTGTGGTGTACTATTTGAGTGAAGTCTATTGGTTATATGATGGTCAAAATAAAAGCATTATATTTTGATGGCAAAACTCCTGTTGATGGATGATCTTCAAGTGATTGTAAACTGATCTTGAAAAAATTAAACTACTAAACAAGCTAGGAATTGGTGTTATAAATAAGAATAAAGAGTTAAAATTTTCACCACGAACTTAAATTAGTTCACTGTTATGTTAGCAAATTATAGTCTCGCCATAAAAACTATTGTGAATACAATGTGTTAGGTTTTGTGACAGAGCCTACCACACTTCTCAATCATGAGTGATTAGGATAGTCTGCTAATATGTAGGTAGAACTATGCAAACTCGACAGACGTATGACTGACGCACAACACTTTAAAAATAAACCGCAACGGTTTGGAAAATGAAGAGAGATTATGAACTCAGTAAAATCTTTTTATTCAAGAAGCCAACATTATCACTGGACAACTCTGTATCGATGGGAACCAAACTTGTAACATAATAAATTAGAAAAATAAAAATGAGAACAAAAAAACCTAAAAACAACGAAGATGGTTTGACGAAAATTAATTAGAACAACTCTATCCTGATTATACTTGAACTCCTAACAAATGAAACTGCATAATCTGAATCTTCTAACAACAATATTCTGGGGCAAACTTCAATGAATTTTCCAAGAAAATGCCTTATAATAACTGTTCCGATAACGCGTCGGTTGGTGTCCCCTTCCCTTTTGACTTAACCAATGCTCTTCTAAACGTATCCACAAACCTTTCCACTTGCCCATTCGACTGCGGGTGGTATGGTGGCGAACGTAAGTGCTGAATACAATCACATCTGGTATGCCATTTCGGGAGAAAATTTCAGTGAGGAGCTGTATTGTTCCAGTTGTCATGGGCGGCATTACAAGAATGATTTATGGTCATTTTGAAAAGGCATCGACCACAAATAAATACATAGTCCCATTAATTGGGCTCGCGAAGTCGACGTGTATCCTGGACCAAGGATGATCAGGTTGTGGTCATGGAATTGGCGGGACTTTGACATTCACCTTTGCTGTTTGCTGGCACCGAATGCATTTTTCAACCAATTCAGTGATAGGTTGGTCCACTGGGCGCTAGTATGCATAACTCCTGGCTATGGATTTCATTCGTCTAACCCCCGAATTACCAAGGTGGAACTGTTTCAGCACTTTTGCGCGAAGGGGCTCCGGCACAACCACTCTTTCTCCAAACCTCGAGCACTCGTTTACAATCCTACCGCTGATACAACTGTTTCATTTCACCATTAAACTTCTTAGACGGCCAACCGTTGGTGACATAGCTCATCGCCATCTTGATGATGGGGTCGTTCCTGGAAGCGTTTCGTATATCTGTTGCAAACACCGACAATACCCTTATTGCGGTTGTCAGATAACATTCCGCGTGGTCTTCCGCAGACGGAGATGCGATTACCATGTTTTCCTAAGCCGCCAATTGATCATTAATGAGTTGTAACAAGGCATCTTCCTGACCGAATTGTTGAGTGCATCGGTATTGGATCTCGAAATCATACCCCAATAGTACCAAGGCCCATCGTTGAAAACGATTTGCAGAATGGGCTGCAATGTCAGATTTCGACCCGAATATTGCGAGCAGAGGCTTGTGATCTGTGAGAAGAGTAAATCTCCTACAGTACAGAAACTTGTGGAAACGTCGGACAGTAAACACAAGTGCAAGAGCCTCTTTTTCTATCTGACTGTATTTCTTTTCTGCCGGGGTTAGTGTATAAGACGTATGCATAACAGCTTTTTCTGACGCGTCTGGAAACTAATGTGAAATAACAGCACCTAGGCCATACGCTGAAGCGTCTGCAGCTACGATATTTGGCATAGATGGATCGTAGTGCGTTAACAACAATTTCGAGCTAATTATCGACTTGAGTTTACAAAACGCCGCATCACACTCGTTAGTTCAGTTCCAAGTGCTGTCCATCCTCATCAGACGATTCAATGGAGCACGAATTTCAAGCATCGAAGGAACGAACGCTGAATAATAGGTAACAAGTCCCATGAAGGAACGTAGTGCCGAGACATTAGTGGGGGTGGGCATCAGTTTGGTAACTCGAATGTTCTCAGGATCCGGCTTGTGGCCGTCGGCGTCAAAAATGAACCCCAGATACTTGACTGACTGCAATAAAAACTGGCATTTCTCTGGGCTTAAGCGGAACCCGTTGTCACTGATACGTTGCAGTACCAGTGTCGTACGTTCCTGTAGCTGTTCTAATGTCGTCGCAACAATTAAAATGTCATCGAGATAAACCGCGATCCCCGGGATACCTGATAGGATGGTATCCATCAATTGCTGGAAGATAAATGGGGCAGTCTTGACTCCGAAATGCAGACGGTTATACTGAAACAACCCACGATGAGTGTTGATAGTAAGCAGCTTTCTTGATGCTTCATCTACTCCCACTTGCAAGTAAGCATCAGCTAGATCCAGTTTTGCGAAAAACTTTCCCCGATTCAGCATAGTAAACAGATCTACGGGAACTGGCAAAGGATAATGATGCTGTTCCGGAGCTGCATTGAGACCTGTAGAAAAGTCAGCACATGTACGTATCATGCTGTTGACCTTCTTGATAACAACTATAGGTGCTGCCTAAGCAGAGTAAGAAACGGGTGTAATAACTCCTTGTTGTTGAAGACGATTCAATTCTTCATCTACTGTTGGTAATGTTGCGTAAGGCACAGGTCTTTTGGGGCAGAAAACAGGCTTAGCCCCAGGTTTCAGCCGAAGCGTTGCTTTCGCGGCAGAACATCGACACAATCCAGGTTGGAAAATAGATGGAAACTGCGTCACTAGCTTTCTCGTATATGCTTCAGGGTCATGTGGTTGTGATACTAGGTGGCATATGGTATTTAACGAAACATCAACTAATTTTAGCTGGTTGAACCAATCTAAACCAAGCAAATTTAGATCAGCTGTTGTTGTATAACATACCCCGGTAAACGTCGAATTGTGAAAAGAAACTTTACAATCTAGTTGTCCCAACAAATGTAGGTGATTACCACATGCAGTAAGAGGATTTTGTGTTGTTGGCACGGTGCGTGGTTTGCCCATTCTGATCCAAGGTTTTTGTGAGAGAATTGTCACGTCAGATGCAGTGTCTATTTGCAATCTAAACGGATGCCCATTAATACTAAGGGTAACGAATTTCCTCTGACCTGGGGATGAGCTTTGACAAAAAGACATCAGGCTCAACGAAGTGGTACAGGATTTATGAACAGTCTTCTTGGCACTTCTGGATCGGTTTGGCTTCCTCTTAAGACAAAACTTAAGATTGGTTTTCTCAGATGTTACTGGCTAGTTTCGATATTATTCTTTTACCCAAAATAAATAATGGTAATTTGATTTTTTCAATGATCAAGAACATGTTAACTTAAGCAATAATAATATACTCACAAGGTTGTTGGACTGTTGAAGATTGTTGTTACAAAGAGACGTTTTAACTGATTTGAGTAACCAGCAGACTGTATTTGTAAGTGTTGTTGTTGATACATTAGTGTTACGGGTTAAATCTGCAGTTAAAATAGCCTGTATCAATATAAGAATAAAAAATTAAGTTTCTTAATAATACAATTATAATGAGAGAAACTCAAAAATAGGAATAATAGTTGTTACACGATTTGAATGAGTTCAAGTGAGGAAACAACAACTACATCACCAATCATCCACAGGTCACAGTGTAGAATCAATCACATATATGTATGCACATTAGACCAAGTTGTTAAACCGTATGCCCATTCAATCGTTGATGTCCGAGTTCTAAAAAGAATTTAGCTCAATTTAATTTAACGTAAACTTTGGTACACGGAATAATCGCTGTAGCATGAAACTAATCAATAATGATATTTGACGTTTGAATACTGAATTATTGATGCCATGAACAATCTTAAATTGGACGATTAAACCCTTTAAAGACAACTGTCAATTCCAAACTAGATGAGATAAATATGTTTTCTTAATATTTCGATAATTTAGTGAGATCCTCTAGAAATTTCACCTTGTCATGTGATATGCATCAATCGAAAGTAAAACTACAAGGTGATCTTGATCAGCATTAGATTCCCCAACTTATTTTTACATCAACCAAAATTAAACATCACAGAAGGCAGTAGTTGAACAAACACAATACGTGGAGATTCACAACTACATCACCCAACTTATCATCTTTACCAAATGCACTGTCTAATCTGGAAATGAAAATGTGTATTTGAACAACAATGTTGAAATTATTCTTCTGACAGACAGGTCAGTTTTGTGATAGCATTATTAGAAATAAATAACAAGCTGCTAACATCTCTGACAGATATATATATATATATATATATATATATATATGCACCACAATCAGATATGTGCTATGAGGTTGTTCAAAAACGAAAGTACATTTCAAATATGCATCACGATAGTTAAAAGGTTAAGTGTTTCTGTTATAACTTGTGCCCGCCAATGTTAAGACGGTTGGTTTTTCACGTTTACACGTATGGGACGTCAATTTACCTTAGATGAATATCTACACTAGATTCCCTCTTAGTGTCTATTCTACAGGATATCAACACAACTCACATAAAGAACACGTGATTAGCCTGATCACAACGTAAATATATTTCCACACCAAAACCCGACACAATCCAACAACGATGAACAATCAATAATAAGTAACAATAAGAATAGGGGAATATATAACTCATCTGACACCTATCAGACTATCTACAAGTCTGACTAAGCAGACAACCAAACATTATCATTCTTACCCACACCAGTTTTAACATATCAGTCAACCAGAAGGCCAAAAGAAAGAGAGCCTACCTGAACAAATAAAGGGTAACCGGCACCACGACGAGTGATACATTCCATTGTATTATGTTTTCCCATACATGATTCTAGTGAAAAATCAATATTTTCTATTACAGTCGAACAATCGTTTGTCGACTTTTCATTTAATGACAAAGTTTGACCAGTGACTGCATTAAGCCAATGAATAGGAATTGTAAAATAGACTGGATGACTACATTTAAAGAAGAAAAAAGTAGAATGAACATGGTAATGAATGAGAACTGAAAAACAAGACGTTAAAACGTATTTTACTCTTTCAAGGTAACTGATGTTTTAAAAAAGAGCACTACAAAATGGAGTCGGTTAAAATACATTTAACAGGAAGATCAGATCCTAACATATATTCCATGGCAATGTGCGTGTGTCAGAAAAGAGTTCATTCAATGATGATGGGATTGGTGTTCTCTCTGAAATTAGAACCGGGTTCTGTTATTGTCAGTGGCAAACACGTTACCACCTCACAGAGATATATTCACGCAAAGACTAACCTCCATTAGTAGGAAGGATACTGAGGTACTTACACTCAATGATCTCAGAGCAGCAACCAATGTCACCTAACACAAACAACATCAGTTAACACACGATTACTACTAATAACTATAAATCATTGAATTCTGAAGAGAAGATTGGTTGGTTAGTTATCATTTCTATGACTAAAATACAGTCACTGTTAAATTGTGCTGCACGCTCATAGAGATCGAACAAATTTTCATCTAAGGCGGCCTGCTTGACCATCTGGGCTACCTGTTCCTGCCATCCAGATATTTCAACAAGTTATCTATTTTTGTTTGTTTTAATATATCATTATGTTTATTAATCGCATAACCTATTCTGCTGCGTTTCTGAAAAGTGTACAACCTTTCGTTGTCAGAGTTACAAAAAACTCAATAAGAGACAATGTGGTTGCTGGCAATATACAGCGAAAAGAATGCACATTATTCAGACGTTCATTTACTGAACTGCCAACATCTAACTGGTGATCACTCAATATTTATCGCCAGGACCGACCAAGAAGAAAGAAACGGAAACTTGTTGAAATACTTTACGCTGAGAATTCTATATTGTACCAAAAATATAATATTGAATAAAGCTAATAATAATAAATAAATAAAAATTATTCGACTACGTATAAAATACATTTCATCAGTAATAAATATTCAGCATCGAAAGATACTTCTTCTGGCGCAATACAAACGTGCGTCTAAATTCCTGAGTGCAGTTGAGAGTGGGGAGAGTCTCCTCTCCCTCTAGAAATGTTCGCGTATGACCACGCATATATGGACCACTGTCAGAGAAGCCCTATTCATTACCTTTTCGCAGCAGTATCTACAAAACCCCGCAATCTGATAAACAAATATATAAAAATGTTATCATCAATGATACAAAATATAATTCGTCGACTTACTTTACAAGCGCAGTACAAAAGTTTGTAAATCCAGTTGCACACAGTTCAAATGCCCCACGATGGCGGCAACAAAGTAACTGAGTACAGAAAAATCGGGCAATAGAAAAAATCTGTAATGTAGAGTGTAGAAAAGAAAAATAATTTGTACAGTAGAGAAATAATAGATTGAATATTGTTTAACTTCATATGAAACTTAAAGAATTTTCACAATATGTTTTTCAACACATATCATGATGTAAAACTTGTAGGACAATGGTGATTCAGTGTTTGAATTATATCTGAAAAGTCCGAGACATATTTCCAAATTAAGATTACATATCTCAGTGTAGAAATACTGTATACCCCAATTATTTTGTCACAAATTTAGCATTTCAATATTTAATTAACAATAAAATGGCTTGTGTCACAGTGATTTGTTTGTTTCCTAGGGAATACTAGACTGGTCATGTGATGTATCAAAACAACTATGGATGATAAATGAGAGACATGTGGATGAGCTGTAATCAATGAATTACTCACACCAGGTTAAATAAAGTTACCATGATCAATTAGAACACCACAGATATAAATGAATTAGATCTCCGGATGCAGGGTCTTAGATGTATACTGCTATGAAGTCCCATGGTGTGCAAAACGACCGTCCAGTGCTTCTACATTTTCAGTGGTGATCTAGCTACGATAGGCTCCTTATCTGAAATTGTTAAAACCATACGATCTCCACAAATCCCCCTAAACTGAACGTATATGAATTATACTATTCAGTTTTTAGTGGTAAAAATCTCTAAGCAACTTCTTTGTGCTACACAGTACGGTTAGTGTTGAAAGCTATTTGTAGTTTTTAAAAAATATTGTTACAACTTTTAGTATCTATTGTGAAAGTCAGTCAGTCAGTAACAACGTAGAACTTCGTACGTACGTACATCAGTTCGAGTTGCCACACCACATTAGCATAGAGATGCAGTGGTCGATTCAAATCCCGTAGTGGTAGAGGTAGCAAGAGTATAAGCAGTAATCGGGAAGATTACGGTTTGGAGATGTTATTTAAAGAGTATAATACAGTGAAATATATTTGTGAAGAGAAAAAAGAGACAAGGAGGAATAAGGAGATCAAAATTTGGGAGAACACAAAGAGTGGATGCACCTGCGCCATTGCAAACGATTTTGAGCCATGACATTCAGGAGCTCTAACCATCGGTTGCTATCATCTCGCGGTCCCCAACCAGGTAGTCTACACCTACCAACATGACTCAGTCCACTTGTCAGTGACTTCATGGACTTGTGCCATGTTTTGGTTTGGCCGCCCCTAGCTTTCTTCCAACCTACTCTTATACCACTGAACATAGCACGTCGAGGTAGTCGGTGGTTGGGCATACGCAACACGTGTCCCAGCCATCTCAACTGATGAAGTTTCACTACTTCATCAATTAATTTGCCATCCTTACCTAGTACCCGTTTCCTAACAACTGTGTTACTTACTCGATGGTCCCATGATATACGAGCAATGTTTCGAAGACACCTATGATCGAATACTAGTAACCTACGGATATCCTCTACTCTTACCGGCCATGTTTCACTGCCATAAAGTAGGACGGAACGAACTGCTGCTCAGTAAACCCGTCCTACTACTACCATTGTGGGGCGTCTGAATGTGTGTCTGTGTTCTAGAACCTGACGTAGTGTGAATATGTGGTCTATACAACCACGCCCAGGTCGAAAACCAGCCTGATTTTCTCTAGCCTGCTCTTCACGAGCTTTGATTAGGCGTCGAAGTATTATTAAAGCTAATATTTTAGACACTATATTAGTCAAACTGATTCCTCTGTGATTGTCACAAGAGGACTTTTGTCCTTTCTTATAGACTGGCACAATCAGTGATTGAGACCAGTCAGATGGGATTACGTCCAGTTCGCAAATTCTACCTAAGACCTCGGTTAATCTCATTGCTAATACTGGACCACCATCCTTAAAAATCTCAGGAGTAAACCTGTCAGGGCCTGCTGCTCTCCCTCGTTTCAGATTTCCTATGGCTTTTTCAACTTCGTAAAGGGACGGAGGACCTACATTAACTTGCCATTCAGGTTGACTAGAGATCGTGGGAAACCGAAGTGTGGCTGAAGGCCAGTTGAACTGATCCCTAAAGTGTTCTTTCCATCGATCCAATCTCCTGGATTGAGAATGTATAATATGTCCATCTTTCTCTGAGAGTGTTTCCTTAACAAGTCTGAACAATTTTCTGCTATTACCTATTGCCGCTGCCTTTTCCATCTCTCTTGCTTTCGCTACCCACCACTGTTAGACATATAAGCTATTGAATATACTGATTCGGTGATCTGACAGTTGAGCACTCACTGAGAGACTCGAGTTTGATACCTGACGGTGGGACTGTGGATACACACAAGTGAAGAGTTTTGTACTAGAACAATATAGTTATCCAGCAATCTCTCTTAGAAAGGTAATTCCAGGGGCTGAATTGCTAAACCATGATCAATGAATTTAAACTATACAAGATGTGATGCAATCACCCACAATAGAAGACAGTTGCAAATGGATTGAAGTTAGACATGTATATTATTTGATGCCAGCTCAGTTAAATGTTCTCTAAGAGAATTAAAACTTCTGCGCCCCATGGTCAGTTGGTATCGGGTTGCGCACTGATGGAGAGCTTCATATTAAGGGTGAAAGAGATGTCTAGTTCTTTCTAGCATTCAATAGTTATCTGATCAAAGTCAATCCGTGATATAAACTATGAAAATGAAAGTGTTTACCATATACACCATTAAAAAAAAATCAACTCACAAACCTCTTTTGGTTTTATTTGATTACTATCGAATTTATTCAAACCGTATGAGACAAGTGATATACCCATAAGTAAAGATAATTCACGAACAGAACGCCAACAACATAAAATTAAATATTCTGGATGATTTCGTGTTTTTTCATAAAATTTATACAATTGAGAAGCTTCTTCATCTGCAGTCTTCAAGGAATGTTAGAATAAAAATGATTGCGAAACACTCTAATTACAAAAAAGATAAATTAATGATTTTTTATATTAAAAAGCCGATTGATTGCACGAACCATTAGACGAGCAGCAAGTTAACGACTTATTAGGTATATTAAGGAAGTCTTTGTAGTTAAATTGGTAGACACTTTTTTATTTAATTCGTTTCACGCTAAATTTATACAACAAACTAACCACTTCCTCATGATTACTTTATGGACCGCTCAATTTTACTTCTAATTTATAGTCAGGTCAACTTTACTAATTTTAAACATCCTGGTAACTTAATATTGGTAGGTTGCAATAGCTTCTTATTTTTCTCTTCATAAAACACAGGCTATCAGTCATGGAAACTCTGTCTGTAGCTCATCTAGGGTTACGGGTGGTTCCAAGTACAGATAAAGGAGGAGGGTTGAGTATGGGGTCAGCAAACCCACCCCGTAGAAAACAACCTTGCTAAAAAACGCTAAAGAGAATAAGCAAATTAAACCTTTTAAACGCCGCCCTTAATGTTGAAGGATCTTCATTTAGAAGAATCATGATGCCTCATGATGAAAGTCGATATTCCTAGGAAGTTACGAGGCTGATGCCCATTCAAACAACCAAAACAACAATTAATATGGGTACATGAAATGTCTGGACAGTTTGGGACCAGTCACATAGTCACGGAAATGAGGAGGTACAACTAGGTGGTTCACAGGATAAATGGAATTTATTGGACTCTACCTGGACAGACAATATTAGCTTCGTGAGAGGTACTGTTGTACTCTGATCATGAAGAGGAAAGTGCTCCACACACTTAGAGAGTTGCCCTAATGCCGTTTAAAGAAGCACGAAATGCACTTATATGATGGGAATTTCGTGGATCTAGAACCATCAAATTACCCTTCAAAACAAAGAGGGAGGGGATCACATAAATGTTATCAAATGTTATGCACCCACCAATGATAGCAATGACGACGATAAAGATCAGTCTTACGAGAGGATACAATCGGTCATAGTGAAGTGCTCAAGAAAGGACCTGACCATCCAGATGGGAGACCTAAACGCCAAAGTCGGGATGGACAACACCGGATATGAAGATATCATGGGACGACATAGACTGTGATAAAGGAACGAGAATGGTGACAGATTTGCAAATTTATGTCCATTCAATAAAATAGTTATAGGAGACACAATATTCCCCCCACGAACGCATACACAGAGCTACATGGGTCTCACTGGACCACACCACGGAGAACCAGATCCACCATATTTTCATCAGTAAAAATTCACAAGGTCAATAGAAGACGTGAGAACCAGGAGAGGAGTTTTAGATCACCACCTGGTGGTTGCCAAGATGAAACTGAAGCTAAAGAAACACTGGGAAACTGTACAAATAGCATTACAAAGGTTCAATACAGCCTTCCTTCGAGATACTAACAAACTCAACGAATTCAAGATAAATCTCAACAACAGGTCCCAAGCCTTACACGATCTTCTCGAAGAGGAACCTACTATGAAGAATGACTGGAAAGAGATCAAAGAAGCACTAACTTCAACGTGTCAGGAGGTTCTGGGCCACAAGAAGCATCATAATCAGGAATGGATCTCTATCGAGACCTTGGACAAGACTCAAGAAACGAAGAAGGACAAGGTAGCATTTAACGATAGCCGAACAAGAACAGAAAAGTCAAGGCACAAGCTAAATATACAGGAGCAAACAAGTAAGTGAAGAAGAGAATTAGAGCTGACAAGCAGAAATGCGTAGAAGAGTTGGAAGTAGACATGGAAAGGATGAATAGTAACTGGAAGCGAGTGGAAAGGATTGTCCAGGACAGAGTTGGATGGAGAGTGCTGGTGGGCGATCTATGCTCCCCTGCGAGGGTAATGGGCGTAATTAAGTAAGTATCCGTCATGGCGTTTTGAGTTTCGCATGAAAATCCGATAGCCTTTGTTTTAAATCTGGTTGGTGGTTTGTTAGTAAAGTACACTTTTACCGTCTTTTATATTGTTTTTTTAGATTAATACAGTGAATATTGGGATGTCACCGAATTGAATTCAATATACAGTAACCAGAAAAAGGAAATATGATCGTTGCTCACTTTAATATCATCAATGATTACGTCTTGTTGTGAAGTTAACAAGACACCTTCAGGTGATTCATGTCCAACAACTGGTAGCACAATTTCAGATATACGAAGACCTAGTGAAATTATACGCTCGATAACATTTACTCCATTGATTTGTTTGAACAAGGATCTATAAGTTTTTTTTCAAATAACAGTAAAATATCTGGTTATTATCACCGGAGTCACTTCTTACTAGAGAATTATAGCAGTATGTCATCTTTTGTTTTTACCTGTCAAGTTCCAACTTGACCTTAATGTTATTTATGTGATAGTATCAAAAGGATTTCTAGTAGGAATTATGTAGGTTTTTCAAAGGCTTTAATATCATGGAGTATGGCCACAGATCTTACGAAATGATATGAATCAGTAACAGTCACAGATACGTTATGGTCTACAAATTATTGTATACAATTTACTGAAAGTTTAAAGTGTAAGTAGCTAGCATGTTACTACCTGGAGGCTTCATAGTTGACTACATAAACTGTGTCTAGAGGGAGGATTCAATTTTAATGTTAGGAGCGCATAGGCAGAAAACTGAATTCAGCTCCTCCTTGTTTGGCCTAACATGGCAAAACCAAATAATTAGATACACAAATAACTGATATATATCACTCAACTAATGAGATATAGGTTGAGAATAAGAGCACAAGCGACTACTTTCAACAGCATATCTCGTCTGTTTTTCCATCTGTATGTGAGTACAAGCATATAGTATGTTTAGACAATCATAGCCTTTCATATACTCAAGTAAGTCAGGAAATAATACAACTATTATGTGCTTTTCTCCGCAACTATTCTGATTTATTTTAAATTCATACATCAATACTGTTTAACATGATGTGATGACGCACAAGTGATTTAGGAAGTAGAGTGTAACTCATTTACCAAGTTCAAACAAACTGTTTATTTGCATGATGGTTAAGGATAGTAAACTGAGTTATAAAAATCGAAATACATGGAAAGTCATTTAAACTTGTTCTGAAACTAATTCTTAGAATCGTTCACATACATCTACATAAAACATTAATACACAATAATTCAGGCGTAGTTAAGCACATAATATACCCTCTTAGATAGAGTTAAAACCTAACAACCCGAATTCCCAACTTCAGTTGATATTTGTCAATATTATGCAGTCAATCCATTCAGAAATTTCAAAGTTTAAGGATAGTGTTTTTTCCAAAATATTAAAATCCTGGTTTCAGTTTTGTGACGATTATTATTGCACAATAACATCAAAATAAGACGAAATGTATGTAACTAGGGTTTCATGATGATGATGATGATAAATAGTTAGTGTTTCATTTAGCATTTTACAGTCCATGACCACATCTCAGGGTAATCTTACGAATGACAATTTAAAAATGAAAATGAAAATACGCATACAGAAATTAAAGAGAGAAACATACTCTGCCTTAATTGATGTGTTACTCCAAATTTGAGCATCGGTAGGCTTTTTATTTTTCTTATTCAATGGTGATGATGAGGTGACACCAATAATAGAACGGATTGTACTAAGTATAGCATAAAATGGTTTATTAGTTGCCACAGACATTAAACCAATTACTGGTAATTTTTCACAAATTGTAATTTGTTCTTGAAGTTGGTTGAGTAGACAATCAATTGCTTGTATAAGTTTCTTATCTACAGACGATGAAGATGAAGACAACTGGTTTGATTTATCGACATTCTCATTACCATATATAAGAAAACGTAATATATCGCCAGCAATAGGACTGACATCCGGTTTGGAACTTTGAGCATAGATTTCTAGTGTATCAGTCCATAATTTATTGATATAATTAGGATTCTGAAATGAAAAAAATGTGATGGAGTAGGAAGATCAATAATTGAGAACTACACTACATAAAGTGTATTATACGTAAACTGGGAGTATGGGAACAACGTTGTGTGGAGTATTTTCTTGAAGAAAGCAGAATCATGCGGCATGTTTAATTAAGTTTTGAAATGAAAACAATGGAGAAAAACGTTACTGTTTTTAGAATGAAACCAAGACATGGCATCAGGTTGTGAAACCATTGACTATTAGCATGAGTAATGTTGATAAACGCAAACAATCTAGTTGAGGTACACACGATTATCATGAAAAACTACGGGAGATGTTGATTGACACGGCTCAGAATTGATCAGAGTGGAACAGATGTATTCACTTTCTATTTTCCTTTAGATCTTGGGTCACGGTTGTTTAATATATGCCTTTTTATTCCTTCTCGAAGTATATTCTTAATATTTAGTCTTTCATACTATTATTTTTACAGAGATCATTCTGACACCTTTATTGTTCAGCTTGTTCACTTCATATTGTTGTGTTAATTTGATGATGAACATTCCTCTGACTCACAAGATCATGAAGTAGTGAACAGAAGTAGGATAACTTAAATGTATCCTAGTGAGACTTGATGTTTGGAATCAAAACGAATCTGGTTTGTCAGTGACTCATGAAACTTAACTTGCGTCATTAAAACATACAGATGATTTCACTGTAATCTCAGCAAAACAGTCACTATATTTTGATATAAAAGAATGGATTTTTTATGATATTTTAGATATTTCAGGACGTCTAGGCTACACTTTAACTTACTGTTCTATTTTATTTGGATATATTGGGTTAGTTAGTCATGATCATAAGATGGGACCAATAGACATTTAAAATGACAACTTGAATAGAAAACTTTACAAAACATGCAACATTGACTGCATTCTATTCGTAATTAAAAATATCATGGATTTCAAATGATTGTCTGTTGAGAGTCAACTTATAAATAAGCGTTCTACATACATATGAACTTCAATAAGTTGAAATACATATCTCTAATGACTGACACGGCACTACAACACGTTACGTTAAACAGATGATTTCTGATGGTAAAGTACAGGTGAACTGTATATAGTTGCATTCAGCATCTTATTGATAAGGTAACATAATAGAACTATGATTACATTGATCAATATTGGCTTTATTAATAAATGAAGTACATAAGTATCTTTATTATTCAAAGTTATTTTGCCGATGTGTACTTGAAGTTCACCTGAAATAAGATCTGCATTCACGAGGTTTGTTGATAGAACGGTTTATCCACTTCTATTCTATCCTCTGATCAGTTATAGGTATACAAAAGGGTACTTACAAGCTCTTTTACGGCATTTAATTATTGTATCATTCATTAGTACTAGTGTTTTAAAATAAACAACATTTAATTTTCATGAATTACTGATATTTTAATGGAGCTATATTTCATGATTAATTGTTTGGACCATTTACATGTATGCTAGATAGTAATTATTTAGTTCTTTGTAGGTTGGGCATGGAGACGACTTCGATAAAATTCGAACCACTTCAAAAATAAAGGCTGTTACTTCAGTATCCTAATTTACAATCATCTTTGGAGACTTATTCTTTTTTCTGTCACTTCTAATTAGGATTAATTTTAATTGAATGTAGTTGAGTCTCGGCTCTTATGTTCCACTTCTTCTACTTTATCTTGAATATTGTTGAATTTAAATAGCGCTGTATATTCTAAGCAAGTAGCTAACTAATATAATAACGAATTACACAGAAGCACGGACACATATGCACTAAACTTAATAGTATTAAATATGCACACAAGAACAGGCATTGCTTGTTTCAATAATTATGAGTAGCATCTTTTGGGAAACGGTTAAAAAAAGACAAGCTTACAAGTTGTTTTAAAACATCCAATCTCAACAGTATTTTCACAGTATAATCTCGGTCAACATCATATCGACTGCATAAACCAGTCAAAAAGAGAAAGAACAGTTGTGACGTTGAGTGATCGATTGGTTTAAAATTTTCATCGGTAAATGAAGGTATTGTATATACATTTTGAGTTGCTTTAATCAAACAACTCATAATTTGTGCCATGAACTCTTCAGAATTTAAAACAAATTGATAATGAGTTACATAATTATTATTATTATTTACAAAAAGGAAAACATGACCAATTAAAAAAGCATATGAGTTGATTACAAATTGTTGATATTTATCATAAACATATGAATTTTAAGTTGCGGATTTCTTGTTCACTGCATTTACACTGTTACAATCATGGATGATTGTAGATATAACGAAAATATATTTATTTTCATTTCAGGACAAACTCTCATACCCAAAAGTAAATTTATATGGTTGGTAGAACGATGTAAGTAGGGTTTAAGTTTGGTAACATATAATTGAGTACAAAGACGATAAGTATTCCCGTCTTACAACACCATCTTAGACAGACTCAACCTATTTTATGCATACTGTTAAAAGTGGCTTTCAAATGGTATAAAGTTTGCTGATGTTAAGATTGAGTGATTAAATCGCGAAAATGATCCATTTCTTACATGATACCAGCTTACATAGTCTAGTCAATAGCTAGCCTAATCACTGTCTTTACATAGCAAACGTTTTCCTGGATAAGTGAGACAATGGCAGTGGATGTCCACTGATTGAACCCGCTTGATGCATAAGGATAGTTTATTTTGGAGAGTTAGAAAAAATTGATTCTAAATAGATGGTTTAGATTCCAAGGTTGATATACAGTTACTTTATTGTTTGAGGATATCAGTCAGAAAATAAAGTGTGAACCTATCGGGCAACATAACACAGCGACATACTAAGTGTTTACCTTATTAACAAATATGTTGACTGAGTGTATCACACCAAAAATTACATTATAAAAGATACAAAATAAAAATGTTACCTGAATAATCATCGGTATAAAAAACAGAATGAAAGCATTCAACAACTGTGTATAATCCAGCTAAGCCTAATGATAGACGAGATGCTGGTGATCCAGGATAAATACATGTCATCAAGATATGAACCATTTCAACATGAAACGACTGAAGAAAAAGAACAGTAGGATGAGCATTTTTCTTTTTGAAAACACCGACGTGAACATATATATATATATATATATATATATATATATATATATATATATATATAATAGCAAGGAAACCTCGAATATTTATGCAGTACTATTCAACTGCATTATTTATAGGCTGGACAATGCTAAGCATATTATGCGCTTGTGATGACATGGTCTGTTAAAGTCAAACGGTAAGTGAAGAATTATAAAGGAGGTGGGCTACTGAAGAAAATCGACTGTCTACCAGTCCAACGTCTCAGAATACATGTCTTTGTTTGGGTCGAAAAATATGGTCGTATATATACCCATAATATAAGTACATTGTATTTTCGTTCGGCAATTAAAGCTTTACACTGATTTCAGTCTTCTCACTTACATAGTCGGTTTAGTACAGAGTAAGAGATGCATAATGTGACCGAATCGGGTAGTAGAATACAACAGTTACATTTATGAGGTTTCATACATTATTAGTATAGATTTGTGAAAATTGATCGTTTTTAGTTTATACCATCGATTGACTTGGCTAGGTAAATATTGAAAACTATGAAGTACTTGAAAGTTTTTCGCCTTAGTATTAAGCTGCACAGAACTATACACTCACAACTCCACAATGGACAAAACATAAAATCTTTCAGTTAGAATGAAAACTACTTTCAAACAGTACGAGGTCTGAACAGTACAGTTCGTTGTAAAACCGAAACCTATTGAGTCAACCTTGTTCGTATTGAGACAGGAGCACACCAATGATATATGATAACGATAATATCGTGACTACTTACAAGCACGTAAACTACTCAATTATTAGAAGACGGTTCAGTGGTTAAGGTGTTCGACTATCATCCTAAGCTCGAACCCTGCTTCACCTACTCCGTTTTGATAACTAAGTAGTATAATTAAGCCTGATGCTTATAGAATGGCTCTTAGCCAAGTACACGAATCTATACATGTTAAACGGATTTACAAATATTGAAACCCTATTGTGGTCACAGCAAAACCTGTGCATTCTATGCAGAAACTTGTGTTTGGCTGTAGATGTTCACATAAATGAAGAAACTAAACAAGGAGACAGAACAGAAACATCGTTGTAAGTTGAAGAATGAACTGATTGTGTTGAAAAGAGACTAAAAACAGATCAAAGATCACGACATAGAAAACATGGAAATATTTAAATTTATCTCAAGCTAATTTAATAGTTGAGTTCATGAGTCAATTGAAGCTGGATCGCTATAAAAAACCCGAAACCACTGGACGGCCGTTTCGTCCTAGTATGGGACTTCTCGATAGTGCACATCCACGATCTCGCCCCGATGGATTCGAACCCAGGTCCTATCGGTCTCACGCTAATTATTATATTATTATTGTTGATTAGCACTATAAATTTATTTTTAAAAATCCACAACACCTCATGCAACTTACTTTAAGATTATTTAAATTGGTATCGTTTGTTTCACGTTTCATAATTGGAAGTGTATGCAACAAAATCTGCCAGTGCAATAAATTTAATAAAACATAGTGATTTCATCAAAAATATTATTTTCAGATATCAATGTAAATATTCATTGATAATTATTTTGCAAAATACACTAACATATAACCGCTGATTCAATCTATTCTCAATATCTTTTGTTGGTGACTAACTGAAATTCATACAAATTATAAACTTCTTAACAAACTGTCATATTTATATAACAGGATAATTTACTATGATCTAATGACTGAGGTATGTGCTCAACTGTAAATATTCAATCAACATACGTATTGTCTTATAAATTTGATAAATGAAGTCATGAACGCATTACTTTACAAAATTTTTCATTACATTAGTCTTGAACTTTCTCAAAATATTTTTTTCATTTGTGGTATAAACAATATTTATCACATCCACGATTCATGCTTTTTGAAGGATTACTAGAAGTCCTCAAGGAAATAAAGTTCTTTAGCTGGCTTCATAGTTTTAATATTCATCAACTGTCGGTCTTGTACGATCATTTTGCATTTGGAGCACGAAACCAATCTTGAGAGATTGATTCTACACTGCAACGGTTCACCGCCACATTTTTGCTCCCAATTGTTTTGGTACGGCTGACCGTCAGAAGTTCTCACTTGGTTACGCGTATACAATTACCGTCGGGTAAATCCTACTCACTGACTTCTCGCAGTGGGAGTGTTGTTTATAAAATTGAGAGGATAAAAAGCGAGTGTCCGACGCTTTAACCGGGTTGGTGGATATGAAGGGGAAAACCCTGATCTCAAACCAATGACGCACTTGGGCTCTCTTTGTGAGGAAACAAAAGGCGTATGAACCTATTCTTGGTCACCGGTTATCATAGAATTGTATCTCTTAATGTTGTTCCACTGCCCTATGGATTAGACCTCTAGATCAAAGACTTGGGCTGTGGCCCCCTAAGGAAACCACCTGCTTCGGTTTGGGAGGCCTGGCAGTACTCCAGCTTTCACATATATCGAGTGATTTGTGTGGCGCATACAAATACAAAACAGCCTCAGTAGCTTAAGTCAGTGCATTTATTGGACAAATACTGTTTAAGATAGAAGGATGGGAAACAGGAAGAAACACAAACAAACTTACATCTTTAATTGCACTGACAATTTGGCCGTGTATACGCTTTGAATTTGGCCACAAATCGTGTCTGAGATAATTAAGAAACATTTCCAATTTTTCATTTGATAAGATCATTTTTTGTTTGGATTTTGTAATTAAACTTACTAAAACATTTAAAGCTGTAAGACGTAACTTGAATTTCGAATAAAAAGCAATTAGAAAAAAAAACTTTTATAAATTTCTTGTGTATTCAGATGTAAAATAAAATTGTAAACAGATAACTTTAAGTAGAGGACATTACCACGATTCCGGTTTAGTTTTGATTGTCATATGATATTCCTTACTATTTAATTAGTGAAATGTTTACCACATAAAATCAGGATAATAAAATATGGATTACTGTATGATAACTCAGTAGTTCGAACGGTTAAGTGTTAACCACGAAACCCGACAATCCTGAGTTTGATATCCCGTGGGATCCTAGATATCCACTTCCATATTAGAACGAAACAGTTGTACATTGTTTCCTGGTTCCTAATGATTACCCCACTAAGGTCTATATTCATGATGTAAAAGTACAAAGACACTTAATATAAACACGAAATTCAAAGAAAATTCCGAAACAGAGGACTGATATAGTTTAGAAAGTAATGAGAAGCCAATATTCCCTCTTTGAAAATACGAATTAGTGCCGTGTTTGTTTGCGGAAAACAGAGAACACTAAATCTGTTGTGCAGAGTTTTTGAACGATGATGAAAGATTAATTGGGTGAAGTTTGTATAATGATAAAGTAAATTAATACATCTCATTTTAATGTTAGTCATCAGTAATGGTTAATTAGTTCGACTTTCAGCCACTAAATCGTAGGTTCGAACACTGTCCGGACTTGAATCTTTGCTGGAGATAGCATGGATAGTAGAGGTCATTGTTATTAAAAATTAGTCACTGCACAAATGATTGGCTTTTATATCCATCATAAAACAATAATAACCGATTCTATCATTTTTAGGCTATTTATATTATTGGACGGCAAGCGTGAGTGAGAAAGCGGCAGACGTAAAAATATTATATATATATATATATATATATATATATATATATATATATATATATATATATATATATATATATATATATTATATGCGTATATGCACACAGTTACATAATATGCACTTACCTGATTATCATATGAGTGAAGACATGATGTTAAGAAATTTAACGACAAGTATTCACAACAGTCAGTTTTCATTCCATTAAATGATAAAAGATGATAACAAGTTAGTAGGAACGTAGGCAAGTCAGTATTCATTTTTACTGTTGCGAAACAAACAAAAGTAAAACTATTGTGTGCGTGAAATTTTTTTATTTAAAGACTTGAAAAAAATGGAGATTCTCATAAAATAAAACTTATGAGATTGTGACTTTTTGATTTAAAACACATTCCATTTTATATGCAATTGATTGGTCACTGAATAGTGGCCAATATCATGTTTGTCTAGATTTTTAGAGCTGATCGAATTCTATCGATCAAGTTTTAATAGTGTAGTCACTAGTCTAAGTGATTTCACATGGAGGGTAATATTTCAGGATGCTACGTGGTTGGGGGTATTAAGGAAGAGACGATGCTTGAAATAGGTTTCACACTAGTTAGCCATTAAGGAAAGTGGTGCTTCTTGAAGGATTCAGACCAGCACCATCCACATTTAGTAGACTGAATAACTCAGTGGTACTGTAGTGAACGAAACCTCAAGTGGGGAAAACTATTTGTTCTTCAACATAAAATTGCTGACTGCCTTCGTAAAGTATGGAAACCATACAATAAATGCATTATTTGCACATCTTCCTTCGGTTATCCATTATGTGCCTCATGATTCTTTCAATTTCTTTTTTACCACAGTTTCTCTCTGTCTCCCTATTTGTTTTGTTTTTCAATTCAATCTTCGTAATCTTCTGCTAGCAGGCATTCCACTTCCGGTTGCTACTAACTACTACTTACATCCGTCAGCATAAGAAGGATGCACCACAGTAGCATATCAGACTGTGAAACTGTGGGATGAGAGCTTGAGTCAACCAAGGAATATCAGTTTTCTCTATATTCCAAGTACATCTCCGACCACCTAACAGTTGTCAGCCTGCCCTAAATGTAAGGCCAAGCATATATATATATATATATATATATATATATATATATATATATATATATATATATATATATATATATATATATATATATATATATATATATATATATATATATATATATATATCAGTTCAATGTTGGTTACATTTCACATCAGCATGGTGAGGAAAGAAAATTTACAAAATGTGGAGCAAAAAGCTGTCGTACGTTAAATATCGGGAACGAAGTTTAAAAAATGAAGTAAATAAGATTACAAGTATCAGTGTTACCTAACTGCCATGTCGTTAACGGCATTCACAACAAGTGACTGAAATTTTCTCGTAGAGAAAAAGCCACGAAAGATTCAATTCCTAAGAATTCTCAGTGCACTGACAGCAGAATACCATGTTTGGTGGTTGAAGAAATGCCTGACAAGTAACTACTCAAACATCATTTTACTCGGCAACGGTTTAAATTCTCATTAACCAACCTGAGAAATTTCGGTATTCAGTCGGTATATTATATATATATATATATATATATATATATATATATATATATATATACGTTGGAGATAAATATGACATTACTTAATGACTGTTCAAACTGAATTAGGATAGAATAGATTTTCCATACAGAATCCCTAGTGTTTAGATCGTCAAAATTCTAGAATTAGCAAACACTAGAAAAAAAAGTTAAAATAGAGAGCATCAGAAACAAAAGAAAACAACTACCTGAGTCACTGTTGCAACATTTTACCAGTAATTCCAACAATTTAGGATTGGTTTTCACTAAACTGGGTAGAATATTCTAATACCAAAAGAAAGAGAAATAAAATAAATCTAGTCGAGAAAGTTTTAGTGAAGACTGGTTACATTGGTAGGACGGATTGATCTTAGTTGGGATACTATGTTTGGAATGAAAGTTGTCACCAATATTAGTAGATAACCATCAAGATATATCGCAAATTGATCGAAACCAAAATTTTATTGTTGGGTAAAGTGCTTTTGGTGAGGCCTGAAGGTCTTGGGTTTGATCTCTGGTAAGTTTTAGATGTGCACTGTAACTGATGTGTCCTATACTGCCCAGTGTACCCACTGATTTCCAATAGCATTCTAACTCAGATCAAAGTACGAAGGGAAATAAATCATTTAACTACTAATGACTTTAATTTTATTGAACAATGTACTATTTTTTTTTAAAAGTGAATGGATAAGTCTTAATGACTTATTCTTCAGAATTAGTTTCGAAATTGACGGTAGTTAATTATTGTTTTATTTACAAAATATACTACTATGAAGGAAATAAATACATTAAATGCAACACCTAGTATTTTTTAGGGCCTTTGTAAAAATATTTGCGACAATCGCTTAGTTGCATAGTTAAGAAGCATTTAGTTTATTGTAGTATACCGAATAGGCATATTTCTAGCAAAAAACGTCAACTGGCTTTCGAAAATAGATTATAATAAGGCTCTTTAGTCAAAAATCTTTTAGCATTTTATTAATCAGGTTTATTACTAACAATCCACTTCCATAAAATGGGTATGACAACATGTCACCAACTATAATGATTTAGAATTAAACCTATGCAGAGCAGTCAACTATGAACTCTGATGAAAAGAGACCATATTGTTATTAATGTGGACAAAAGTAAACTATACCGATGAGCTGGTCAGTTTTAGAACAGAGAATCTTGGATTTACGTGAGAAATTTGAAGCGCAATGATGGATGGATGGTAACGTAACAAGAGCTAAGTAAAACCTAGCAATATTTTGCTACCAAGAAGCTCAAAATTATTAAACATGACAAGATTAAAGAACAGGAATAGACTTGGGCAATGTTTAAGATGACAATGGAAAAAGTGATTAATTATTTATTTAAAGGGGAGATAATAGGAAACAAATGGGGTTAAAATGTACATAACATGTTAAAATGACTTATAAACTTTCCACGGCAACTTAAACGATTTCAAGGCTTCAATTTGAAGAACTATCTGCATATACGTGTTTATTATGTGAAGCATTTTCTCATTGCAACTCCAACCTTAACCCTATTATTTTCCCATTGATTATAATGAATAATTTAACATGTAAACATTTGTTTATCACTTTAAAACTTTGATAACTAAGCGTTGTCTTTTAACTGGCTGATCAGTTGTTCTAGGTCAGTGGTATAGTTCACTTTTGCTATTCATGTGAATTTAAAACAAAGAATATACGGATCAGTGATACAAAGAAAACATTTACCTGAATAACTGTAGAATGAAATGTTTCGTTAGAGTTACGAATAAAGGTATCGACTAAACCAGATAACCATACATAAATTAATGGGTCATTCTCAGTGTACAAGTTGTGCGTAATTAATGTATACAATTCTGAAATCTATGTAGGTAAATAATAAGACATAAATGTATAATCTTTAAATTACAATAAAATAGTCAATGTAATTATTTTAAGGCTGTTTTTTTCTTGTGAAACCTTTCTTCCACAAATGTTTATTTCGTAATAATTTAAAGTCATGTATTGAAATTATAAATTAACTATTTTTTTTCTTTCTAAGAAAGGATAGGCCAAATCATTTACCGAATACGTGTTTATGCATTTGCCTTGAAGTATCATTTAGTTGGCATGAGGGGGTTAGTGAAATTAAAAAGCTTCGTTTTCTACTTAATTAACACGTTTGCCAGGTATATATTAGTCTACTTGGCTTTCAACCACACTCCTGGTATGAAAGATAGTGATACTACCTAGTCGTTCAAAAAGAAGTGAGGAGGTGTTCGAACCTGCAATCTGATAATTGGATTGTGACTGAACTAATAAGCTATTGTTCATTTTTGATCTGACCAAGACATTCTCCATAGTTCTGAATGCTTACAATGCATTCTTTCTTGATGTGCAGATCATCGATGTGTACAGGTTACGCATGCTGTAGGAATCACTACGTCAATACATCTAAACAGAATTACACCCGTTGTTCTTCTTTAATCCGGTTGCATGGAAGCAAAGTATGAAAGGTGAATGAACCGAGTCGTATAAATAATTACATTAATGATGTTCTACAGATTTTTATTTGTTCATTGAAGAAACATGACTGAACAGTTATAATCCACAATTCTGATACCGCGACGGTTACATTGATGACAAGTTTGCTCAAACAGACAAACATATTAGCGTAGCATCTTTGATAAGTGTATAAATTCAAGTTTTTAAATTCGGGACAGAACTGAAGAGAATCCATTAAAAAAAGCCAAATGAATAATCCACTGAGAAGAGCACTATTTTCATCATATTACTGATACATACGAAAAAACTTCCTTTTTGAAAATGAAGTGGAACTATATCTTACGATAGCAAATACATTGTTTTTGGTTTGAGGGTCACATTCTAACTGGTAGAGAAAGTACAGTTGAACTATAGGGTACTATGTAAAAATGACAAACCGGATAATGAGACTGAATCCTAATCGACTGAAGGGACTGAGACGTATGATATGTATCATCAAACACTGCCTATCTCAACATGCAACTATGAAATAGAAGCAAGTTACAAGAAAGATAGGAGTCAGACCACAATGTGGAATCAGTCCATGAAGAAATTGACTGTTGGTATGAACTGTGCTGGTAGACCCAGACCATCTGGTTGAGGTCTGGGAGATAACTGAGATTAGTGGTTAGAGACTTTAAATGACAACCCAGAACTGTTGAAAATGGTGTAGATGTATTGGCTCCTTTTTCTTCCACTAGATCTTGAGTTTTAATACTCCCTAATACTTATCTTCACATTTTATCTTTAGGAATCATTTTTTCAATGTTTAGTTTTTCTTACCATCACTGTTATTATAATGATTTGACTCATTTACTATACATTATATTAATTTCCCTGAATGCTAATGTAATTTGGCGACTTGAGCTCATATTGCTTATGATTTGCTATATAAATGTTGCATTGGATGTAAACAAGTGATTTAACGTATGGTTAGCATGAAGGTTTCTTTCAACGTACAACTCAATTAAGATACGGATAAGGATAGTAAAATATCACTCATGCGAAATTATTTAGAATTCCATAGATACACTATACAATAAATGAGACATTAACTTTGTGATTAAAATAAACTTGAACTCTGCATTATCTACTCCGGTTTGAACACCCCCGAGGTGGTATTCCCAGCTTTTGTACAATGTACCTTAAATCCTGAGAACATAAGCCGGAATAGTTGTTGAATGACATCTATTAACTTTAAACTACAACTTAATGACTGCAAAGTTGAAGTACTTTTAGTATCTACACTTTATTATTTGATGTCTTTTATCTCATAAAGCTGGAATTATCTTCAACTACAAGTGAACAAAGCATGGCAACAGTGAATCCTTACTACCCTGCCGAGGATTGAAGTCAAGAACGTCAAGCTCTTGCGACGATCACTTAGTTAATAGAACTATTAATTCGGCCGCGGCTTAGTGCCTAAGGCATTTTCAACTATCAGATGGTAGGTTCGAGCACGACTACAACTACTTTGGTTTGAACAGTCATGTGGAATCACTAACCCTCGAGTGCACAGAATCATTTTAACTTAAAGCCAGGTATGTGAATTTGTACTTGATTAGTGTATTAAATCATCAAACAAAACATGAATGTATAGTTTTATTCAGTTGTACACACCTGATCGAACTTCTTAACGAAAGTAGCGAATAAAAATTCAGCACTAGGAAATATGGTAAACCGGTCAACTGGTTTCAGTAAACTGTTTTCTTCTTGAAAATCATTGATCACACACAAACGTGCCTCATTACGAAGGCAATCTTACATCAATTTTGAATTTAGAAAATAACATCACAAGAATGGTAAGTGGAACAACTAACTTACTTCTGACGCCAAGTTAGGATCATCGGCAATCTTCATCGATCCTGAAACAATTCTTCCACAAATTTCTAAATTAGTGTCATTAACAAATGGCTGAAAAACAGAATCCAAAGAGTGCAATAAATTGATTGTCCTATACACACGAGTCTTAGACATACAGCGGATGAATCGAGTTAACATAGCAATTGTTCCGCGACTGTAACATGAATCACTCACTAACTGATTTAAAATTTCATTCAAATAACCACAAGATATTTTTGACTTGTTATCAGATATTCTTGACTGGCGACATTCTGAAATAAATATTTAGTCACATGACAATAAATGGAACGCAGCTCAAATTACCGTCACAATACTTCAAATGAAAAGATATGATATTCTCAATTGTATCTAAAGCGGAATATCGAATAGCCTGAATAGAAATAGAGAATTGAAATGATCTATTTAAAAACAAACGTCTATGTAACTGCTTCTCATGTCTATACAATACGTTAGAAGTGGACTCGTGAATACATTAAATTGTTCGATATTTCTTTCTACATCATCCTCATAGTGATTTAATAAATTCTTTCTAAAATAAAACACCTGTTTATACAAATAAAAAGACAGACTTGGACCAATTGTAAACTATTTTCGATTGAAGTAAATTAGTAACTGAATCATTCTGATTAAACTTTCTTAGCAGATGATTATTTGGATCAACAGAAAATCCAGCCATAGACAGAACATACAAACTTATGTTTCCATAATTCTCGTAATTACAAAACCAATCAGTTGTAGATAGGATCCCAACCAGTGCTAGTAGAATTGCTAATTGAGCTCGCGAATTACTACTATGAAATAATTGGAATAAAAAAGACAGATTCCCTGTGATATCTGACGAAGGTGAATTCTCGGATTGATTAAGCACAGCCAATATCTAAAATAAACCCAAATTAGTAAACATAATTTCATCCAAACTTCAGCCAAGTAATCTTTCCTTTCCAATTTAACAATATTTATGAATAAGATTGCATAGCTTATAAGGCACTCAACATTAGTGGAACCTGAAATTCAGACCACTAGAAAAAAATATCTTAACATACCACAAATTATTGATTTGATCTGGTCGATGGCTTCCATGAAAAATACATACGAATTAGATGGCGCATGTGAGTGCGTTAAACAATAGACCATAAGTTTTGCACAGTTACTTAGAACAGAATCGCATTGTTTGCCTTGAACACAACTGTTTTCCGTCGTGTCTTTGAAAACTCTTAAAAGGTATTTGATAACTAGGGATAGAAAAACAATTTCGTTTAATTTGTAAGGTTACTCTGATCTATGGCTTTTTCATCCAACAATGTAGCTAAAGATATAATTTATCATGAACAGAGGAATTTGGGTATAAATTACCCGTTTGAATACAGAAATCCAAAAAAGCCAACTGCAGCTTTCTGTTAGGAAATTTAGAACACAGATACAACAACGCATCTATCCCATTCGTAGTAAGTACCATCTCACTAAATAAAAAAAGTATTTAAGTGGGTAATTATATTGTACCTTGAAATCTCGAAGCAGCATCTAACACCTTCTTTGGCACAAAATGCGCTGAATTTCTTTTCAATCAAGTTGCGGATATAACTTTGTTGATCAGACATTTTATAAAGGCTCCACTAAAATTAGACAGTAATTTTAAAAAGGTTAATTATGTTATATGGAACACCACGAAAAATTTATTTTCGCATTAAATCAATTTATTTGTTATAATTGACATATCAACTGCTTTGGCACCGATTTCCGAGTCCATAACATCAGTAAAATAATTCTTACAACTAACTAAAGTATCTCAGTGAAAAATACACATTTTGGGTGAAACTCTAATTTATGGACGACCTTTGAACGAATTTTTAAGGGACCTTGAGGACATTAGCCAATCAGAAGAGAGTTAGTATAAAGTAAAAATATATTATAAAAGAGTGATGAATTACAATGAATATTCTTCTTTTACATTATTTGAGAACTTGTTGAGGTTTGATATAGGTTCAGAAGTTTTGAAATCATAGTGCATGCGGTATAAGAACTCGTCCATATGACTCTATAATAATCGTCCTCTAGAGCCGTGGTAGGGTTTTAAAGAATACTTCAGCCTAGACCACATGCCCTCAATGTTGTTTGTATGAACCCCCCGTCGTTGGATCAAAGAAATAACGTTTGTACACCACAACATGATGCACAAAACCAGGTCTGGAGAGGCATCTATACGTTTTCCAAACATCGGTATAGCCGCAGCTAATGTTACTGTAGACTTTATGATCCGATTTGCAACGATTATCATGGTTTGTCTTAGCCTTAGCCGTGACCGGGTAAAAAGTGACATTTCGAGCAGATTTTTTTCTACAACATATAGTACAACGAAATACAATGTCATCGCGGCAGTCTGCACATCGTGCTGCAGTCATTTAATTGCCGCAGTCACAGACATAGGAACTTCCTAATAGTCCCATCTGCTGTAGTCTCTCAACGATCACCTATTCTTTAAAATCTGCTGTAAAACGATCGAATGTGAGCATCTCGCACTGAACTTAGCGCCATGACCTTAAAAATTCCTTAGACGCTTCTGATTGGCTCGTCCATAAATTAGAGTCCTACCACATTTTGATACTATATATCGAAGCGTAAATCGCAGACGGTAACTGTAATCTGTATACTATTCTGGATGAAGCTGGTTTTAAAATTACTTGAATTCAGATTAAAATAGCGAAACCAAACTTCTCATCTAGAGCTTAGATAGCGTTAGTTTGTAAACAACACTGAATACATGATAATACTCATGACTAGAATTATCGAGGTTAATTAATGATGTTTTAAAAAGCATGCATGATTAATACCCCTAAACTTTGTGTATTTTTACGCTCAGCATTACAAATAAACTACTCAACGTAGTCATACAAAAACAATATTGTTTAAAGCTGACGACTTATTTTCACGTGTCTGATTGACGCACTAAAACAAAACCTCAAATACAATAGACTATTCGTGACCGAAAGTAGTTATTTTATTAAAATTAATATTTCTTGATTTTAATTCAACATTTCAAGGCTTAATAATGCAATAGTGATGAAATGTTATTCTGGATTTATGCGCAACAATATTTTAGGGATTTATCCGAAAATTTCCCTAAACATTGGGGAAGGTAATTAAACTTCAGGGACTTCCCTAAAATTTCCCCAAAGTTGGAAGCTTGGGATAAATTGGCTTTACCTCGAAAACAAGTTGAGGCAAAGTGGAGAGTATTCAAATATACAGCTGAAAAGTAATCACCTGTTAAGAAAGCATTTACGTGAGATTCCGTAAAATCTGTGAAACTAGACGATCTGTGAGGTGAAAACAAAAATGTACTGTAAAGCATGAATACTAATTGAACGGACAACCTTTGTAGCACGTTGAATAAGTGTTTATTCGGAAGCTGGAGCTATCTGAAACAACAACACCAGTCAGAACTGGTAACTGCCTCTGAAGTAAGAACGCGGCGCACTGACACAAGAAAGAGATATTTGAAAAACTGAAAGATGTGGTCATACTACAAAAGGGAAAACTTATTACAAAATAGTTTTATCTTATGGTGACATATATTCAGTGATTTTTGTAACAACAAAAATAAAAACCACATTTTTTCTCTAATTTGTCACTTTATTTGTAACCACACTTTATTCAATATCTGTTGTTTTGCTGTGTCACTTGTTAAAAAAGACGACGATAATTGTTTCGATGAATTATATACGATTCTACTACCGCGTTGTTTAAAATACAGGACACTATCCACGCCGTTTGTTCTTCTGTTTTATTGGCCACCGTTTTGATTGAAGACTATAATAGTATTATAACATCATTAAAGGCCTTCCGACTCAACGTTGGACTTTTGGCGCGGATTACTATTGTATAATACCATTGGACTCCGTCTCATTCATTACGTCATTGGTGTATTCACTTGCAGAGGAAAACCTGTCAATCAAGTGAACTCAGTTTGTGGTCGTTGTTCTCACGAGGCGGTTCACAAGTACCATTCATTCTATAGTAACTGTTAGAGTCTGTTTGTTTAATATACCTTTTGTATTGCTAACGGTATTTTGTTACCTTTGGGTTTTACTAACGGACAGACATCTAGGTTTGTATACCACTATTAACCTAGTGTATCAATATATGTTGTGTAAGCTCTTTTTGTTTGGGAACCACCACAATCTATTGTTCTTCATGTTCAGCTTCCATAGAGCTTGTGCATTTTCTCCCAGTGCTTTTACTCCTTGTTGCTGCAATAAGAAAAACGGACTCGTGCTAGTAACATAACATGTAATGATTTTTGCAACTGTCACAACCTGACACTTCAAACGATGCACTAAACTTTGTAACGGATAGAGAACAGTGAAAATCCCTCTGCAGCTTCTTTTTTGAACAGTATTGTCATTTACATGTTTCTTCTCCCTTTTGTGTATTCCAACCTTTGTTCCGATCTCGTCTAACCATATCTTTTGTTCTCCAGTCTTCCCCGTTTGAGCCTGTATTATGCGACTTTGATTAAAGACTTGCTTTTGTTACCTAATTTTCTATTGCATGTTGCCGGACCATTGACAGTAAGGTTGTGTTTGACTAAGCTCAAGGTCACGGCGTGGTTCAGTGTGTGATTGTGAACCTTCTGACTGCCTGCTTGGGAGGATTGCTGGTATCCCTGCAGATAGATATTTGACCCCATCTTGTTGGGAATATTTGTATTGATTCTCAGGTATCAAACCCTTTAGTATTAACTGTCTCTTTCATCGTTTAGCGCACTACTTTGCGTTAGAGAAACTTCTGACTGTATAGCACAGGGTGCACCGTTCGAGGTATTTTGTATTTTTGATGTAATTTGTTCTGTTGTCTTAATTACAACCGTTTATATTGAGCACAGAGTTTGTGTTTTGATATAATATAATACGAGTATCTCAAAGACGCGTTGTGAGCTATACAGAGGAACTTGGTCTGGTCTAATCGAATAAATTTTGGGTTCGTCAGTCCGTTGTTCCAACCGAATATTTGCTGTTCGGTCGTTACATCTCTCGAACGAACAGTGATCTCAAGTGACGAATTCTGGAATGCCTGGAAAGCGCAATAAGGTCAACGAAAACTTGGCACTGCAATCGGATGCACCTTCAGATGTACGGCAAGTCAAATTAGATGCATTTTCATGTCATGGCTCTAATGTTAGTTTAGTAAGTAGACATAGCGAAGTTAGCTCTAGGATTACCTTAGCGGAGTTAAAAGAAAGATAATTACTAGAAATGAGAGACTTGAAAGATAGACGAAGGAAACAACTACTGTGTTTTCAGAGAGAGTTTGGGTCGTTAAGGCTGAACGAAAGCACGTGTAGCAAGTTATCTTCTGTTTCTAACTGTGATGAAAGGGAAAAGAAGCACGTTCACAGGTTCGTAAGTCCTTCTCATGACCTTAGGATAAAGTCTCCAGAAAAGTCAAAACTGCTAGATTATCCAGGAACGAAGAAGAAGGAAGTGACCTTGGAATCTCTAAGTGTAGGTCTTGAACTTCCATGGGGAGAGCTAAGTACCTTTGATGGACAACCAGCTAAATACTAGAAATTTATTAGACAATTTGATTTATATGTGGTTTCCAAGGTTGAAGTCGATGGTCAACGGCTCTTGTACTTGTTACATTATTGTAAAGGCAAGGCTCGAGAGGCCATAGAGGAATATATAATGCTTCCACCATCGTCGGATTATCGTAGAGCGTGCGATATATTGAAACGGTTGTTCGGTAGAACACACGAAATATGTCCGGCTTTGATGAAAGATTTAAATGAAGGTCCTGATATTGCGCATAATGACGCAGAAAGTCTATCTACACTAGCGATAAAGATGGAGAACTGTTCCATAACCTTAGAACAAATGGATTATTCAGCGGATCTCAACTCCGTAGTTACAATAGAAAGCATAGTAAAGAAGTTGCCCACGGTTTTACAGATGAGATGGGCTGAGACAGTAGGAAAGGTAACACTAAATTGAAGAGAGCCTACTTTTGCTGAGTTAACAAAATTTGTGTCATCTAGAGCGGAAATATTGCTTAGCAGATTCGGACAGATTGCAACTGCTAGTAAACGAGTTGCAAGCAAGGTGGCCTGTTCCACACAAGGTTTGTCGTTCGGTAAAATCGTTAGCAAGTCACCTTGTGTTATATGCGGAGAAACTCATAGTGTGGATAAATGTTTCCAGTTTTCAACCTTAGCAGTCAACGATAAGTGGACGAAAGCAAGAGAAAAAGGCTTGTGTTTTTGTTGTCTTCGAAGGGGCCACAGATCTGTGGATTGTAAAGATCGTTTTGTGTGTACTGTCGAAGGTTGTCGGGATCGGCACCACCCATTGTTGCATCAAACTATCCGAGTTTAGGGTGGTTCGAGTGAGTGTTTAAAAGAAAGTCATTGTGGGTACGCAGAGTCATTAAAAGTGTATGTGTTTCTGGGTTTAATCCCTGTACGCCTTAGAGCTGAGGACAAGGAAGTTTCTGGATATGCGTTTCTAGACAATGGCTCAGATACAACCCTAATCAAGTTAAGTACCGTACGACGTTTAGGATTATCGTCAGATAGTGCGTCGGTTACCATCAAAACGGTCAACGGAAATAAGTTAAGCAGATCAACCACTAAAGCTTTTAAAGCTTACTCATTGAACGGAGACGAATGTATATGTATTGAACAGGTTGTTGTAGTAGAAGATTTGCCGGTGCATCGACCAAGAGTACCTGTGAAGGACAGCGCCAAGAAATGGCCTCATCTTATTGACTTACCTTGAACAGAATCAGTGGATGGTGAAGTTATGTTGCTTATTGGTTGTGACGTGCGTGAAGCGCATTGGGTCCTAGATCAAAGATTGGGTGGAAGAAAAAGCCCATATGCTATTAGGGCACTCCTAGGATGGGTTCTGTTTGGACCGGCAGGCTTTAGCGAAACAGTAAAATGATGGTAAATTATATTTCTCAATCTGACAGCCCCGTAGAGCAGTTAAAGGAAATATATAACTACGAATTTGCTGACGCGCACTCCTCCGACAAAGCATTATCTTTAAATGACTTGAAAGCAGTTGGCATAGTGGAGCGCGACACTTATTTTGACTAGGGTCATTGGATTGTCCCTTTACCTTGGAGCGTGGAGAGAAACGTAGTCTCCGGTAGCTATGATCTAGCTAGACGAAGATTAGAAAGTCTAAGACGTAGACTCATATGCAATAATGACTTTCGGGAAGGCTACACTTGTGCCATGCAGCAGACGATTGACAAAGGGTATGCGGTTGTGGATCCAGGTATGCAACTCGATCCGGGTTATCGTCCAAAATGGTACTTGCCCCATCATGCAGTGAGTAACCCCAGAAAACCAAGTAGAGTGAGAGTGGTATTGGATTGTGCTGCCAAGGTGGCTGGTAAATCCTTGAATGACCTTCTCTACCAAGGTCCAGATACTACAGCATGTTTAGTTAAGATCCTGTTACGTTTCCGCAGGGAACCGGTTGCCGTTTCCGCGGATGTGGAAGAAATGTTCATGCAAGTAAAGGTCTCGAAGCCCGATTGTGGAGCGCTACGTTTCCTTTGGTGGCCGAAAGGTGATATCGAGAAGGAACCAGTGGAGTTTCAGATGACATCACATCCCTTCAAGACAATATCCTCACCCTTCTGTGCAAACTTTGCACTGATGAAGACGGCTCGAAAGTTCTCCAGTGACTATGATAACAGCGTAGGGCAATCGGATGATTGCCTAGTATCCTTTCCCAATGATGAAGATGCGAAAAGTTTTGTAGTGCAACTAAATGTATTGATGGCTCGAGGAGGTTTCAAGTTGAAAAAATGGGTGACTAACTCGGAAATCGTAAGGAAAGTTTTTCCGCAATCTGATAGTATGGAAGCGATTGTTGATATGCCTCTGAATC